GTGGTTTTGTATCATATAATACAAATATATATCATAATATAATACAATATATGATACTATATGTGTGTGTGACATATTGTTCACATCGGCTGGTTTTAAACGTTGGGGAGGTCTCACTCGGCAATACAACCGTCCTGGCGGCGCGATGTAGCTGCAAAGGAATTGCTGGAAGATCACCGCCTCAGAGGTGCCGATCGTCCACCCCGCAAAGGTGCCGTTCACACCCCAATGGTCGACCTGCGGCTATATGGCTGTGGGTGACAACCAGACCTTTGTTGACCTACCGACGGAGGGTCAAGCTACATGATGGACTAGGGCTCCAGGTATTTGACCCATCCCCATATCTCATCATGGTATATCCCACCAGCATGTTGCGACTTGGTCAACCTGTCGCGGCCGTTGTCGAACAGGAAAGTGCTTCTAAAGAGACAGGATCATAGAACAGGACACGTGGAAAGGATGCTACTTGACGCGTCGACGACGTTGCGTCGTTGGATGGGTTCCTGCTGATGCCATCGCTAATTACTCCCATTCAGCTTTATTCCAGCTTTTTGAAGGATGTTCAAGAGCTGACCTTGATCTTGGTCGGAATGCGGCACAAAGCATTCCGAGATGGCAAGGATTCCGAGATGCCAGCCCGGGGTGCCCGTCAAAACCCACCTGGCCGCCACCTGCCAGCGGCCAGGGCTGCACATCGCCCCCCGCAGCCAGGGCGCCATGATCACTTCGTCGGGCGCCTGGTTGTGCAGGGCCAAGGGTTCCAGCTGCGCCTCGGCCATCGCCAGGGCCAGCCGCCAGGTGCGAATGTCAGCAGGGTGAGAAGCGAAAACACCTGTATGTATATCTATATCTATATATAGTAGGTAAGTATATACATATAAATCACATATGTATATATATATATAAGAGCAGCCGTCCCACTTCAAACATGTAAATGGTAAATCTACGCAAACTACCCTGCCCTGCGTCTGAAAAGCTCAGTCGCGAACACATACCTCTCTTGCAGGCATGCCCTGCACGCATCGTGGGGTGTGTGGACAGGAATCTCAAGGCAGGAAGAATCTAAAAGCGATGAATAAATAAACTCTAAGATGAATTATATATAATATAGAGTTCAAAAAAGGATGGTTGGCAGGCTTTACAACAAAAGGCCTCTCTCCGGTCCTGGTCTGGTGTTATATAGGAAACCAAGTCTGCTCGTGTCTTCAGACCAGTTACAAGTGCAGTTTGCCGGCAACCATTGATGTCAGGGAGAAACACTCCAGCACTCTTTGTGGCATGATCCCAACACATGTCATTTAGATATCATTTAGATCTAATTTTAGGTATGGTACATATGGAATGGTATGGATGTAAATTAGTATCCACGGGCGGTTCCGACATGACCGCTCCTCACTGAGTCTCTTGATGAGTCTATGGCAGCACAAGCGGATCCCACTCCTGGGCGTCTCTCGACCGATCGGCCCGCTCCACCGGCGTTTCCCCCGTGTCTTCCGGCAAGACCACGACGGACATCCGCATGGATCTGAAGGATCCACGGAAGTCATCAACTCCAAAAAGGGATAAAGGCACCCCTCTATTCACTCATGGCCTCCTTTTTGGTCGGATCGCCGGGCTTGTCATGGCGTGTCTCTGACTAGGAATCTGCTTGGACCATCCGCGTTTCAACGAAGCACTGGACGCATCTTAGCCCAGCACGGTGACAAAGGAGATAGAAGAGCCTGACCAAGCATGGACCAGATTCACAAGGAATAGTAACTGGCTGTTGGTGAGCAAACAGTGCCATCAGATCCATTTACAAACCCAAAACCTGTGGGACAGTTCGCCCTGCGCCTGTTGCCACTGTCGCTTCAGATTGCCAGGCACTCTCTGAAAGGCCTGGCCATCGCCGACGCTTCAAGCACTCCAAGGGGGTCTCAACTCGGGTCAACTCACCCGGCTTCGGCTTCGGCTCTCAGACATCGGCTTCCAAGCCGAGCTGGGCCTGAGAGATCCCCTTGGCCGTTCGATTCCTTGCCGCAACAGCGGTCCCGAAACAGCCGACGAAACTCCTTGAGGCGAATCACTCCAAATCCTCCCTGGTCAAGTCACATCTTCCACGCCTTGCTTGCCTGAAGGCTGCCAAGGATGGCCAACCTGCAGGGGCATGCGGTTCGTGCGCGCGTGCGTCGTTTAGAACATGCTTCGTGGATGTTAGTCAGTGGTTTGGTGGATATGTGATATAGTACGACTACCAGGACCAAAGTGTTCAACACAATGTCTCCGCGTCCAGATCACCCCCCTCAAAAAAGATGAGAGTCGGTTTTGACCTAGCCGTCATGAGAATGGGAGTGAGCTTGCATCTGCAAACTGCCGAATTGCAAGCCCTGCCGGCCCTGCCACTCCAACCTGGTGTCATCCTCCAAGGGAAGCGCTGCTGGCGGGTGTTCTGACCTACCACGGGAGACAAAAACAAAGGGTGGCTTCAGCCAACAAGCTGCTCAGCGCTCTGGAAGACATGACACCTGATTTGGATGTGATTCTCTTCCTCAACGGAGCACCACAGACACCCCGGGTGCCGCTCATCCACTTCGGCTTCGGCCGCGTCTCAGAGCCCAAGTTTCGTGTCCCATCTGGCCGTCTGGGGCATGGATGACTAAGTAAATCGGCCCAAGGTAAGTGAAGCCAACAACCAACAGTCTCTTGTAAGACAACCTGTTGACTTGGCACAGCCATTCGACACTGAACCTGTCATTGAGCCTGAGTCTTATTGTGCAAATTGTCTGCATGGAAAGTCCTCTCCCAAAGCGACTTGTCAGATCTTGCCAGTTGCAAGTTGCAATTCTCTCTGGGCGGAGTGTTTGGTCCATCTAGAATCTACCTGCTCTCGATCCTGCCAGGTTCCCGGGCTTTTTCCGTTTCTTCTGCGCCTGTGGTCGAAGTCGGGGGCATGAGATGAATCAAGGCTATGCAAGGAGAGGAGCATAGAGGAACTCAACAGTTCAACTCCTCAACCCAGGAGTAAGGCAGGTAGTAGGTGGCCCTTAGATGGCTACCAGCATGTTCAACCTGTGTAAAAATCAGCTCTCCATTCCACCCATGCCATTGCCAGAATCAAGTTGAATCAAGTTGCACCCTGACGCCTTCTGGCCCTGCTGAGCTGGCCGAGCACCCCCCACCTTGGTAGGCGCAACGACCACTGAGAAACTCATCACATTAAGGTTGGTTTATGTTGGTCATCTGGCCACTCGTGCATGCATAAGTTGCAAAGATGTTGGATTGTTTTGGAATGACCATGCCCACCGTAGTTACCAAAGAAGAACTCAAGGCAAATCACTTCAGAATTCAGCAACTAACTCTGGGCGATATATACATATATGTATATGTGGTGCCGTGCCCCAAAAAAAACACCCGTTCATAAAATTCACCGGTATTTGCAGTGTTTTAGGCATATTCTTGGGCCACGACGAGCTCCACCAAGATGGAATTGGCATAGGTAGCTGCTTGGTGTGCTGGCGACTGCTTCGAGGCCTTGAAGTTCAGGCGACTGCTTCGACGCAGCCCGTTTCGATTGACCTGTTGTTTGGGTACCTGTTTGGGCTCTAAAGATTGGCTCGGGCGAGAAAAATGCAATGACTATGACCATTCTAGCCATCAACCCCAGTATCACGGCTCAAGGCTCAAGCCGATCCTGCAAGACAGAATCCTTCGGCGACATCTTGCCAATACTCAATGATGCACTGAGGGTCCAGATGGCCTATCAACAAGTTTCTTTGCATCACCACAAGCACTGCCTCTTTGTGGAATCTCATGAGAGCATATGAGGGAAAATGGAAAAGCCCAACCGGAACTAGGGAGAACTGGAGGACCCGGCTGCACACCAGAAGAGTTGCTCCCAACCTGCCGGTGTGGTGGCATTGGGCACGAATTCAACGGGAGTTGGGCCCTGAATCCAGAATCCGTATGCAATGAGGAATCGGGCCATGTATGCAAAAAACAATCTCGTTTCTTAGCAAATGGTTGCAAGGGACAAAAAAAAGGAGTGGCTTTGCCTTTATTGCAGTTTCCAGGCGCATTTGTTGAGCTGATGTAACCCCCCCCCCCAAAAAAAAAGAAAACATGGAGAGATTGTTTTATTTTGCATTGTGCCATTACAATCTCATATACACCTTTTCCAACCACTCCGGAAATGGTGAAAGCACATCTTGCAACTGGGTGAGCACTTGGAGCACTGGTCTTTTCTCTCAATACACCCTTGGATGAGCCTTTGCTGAGCTTCTGGAAGAGGCCAATGAGCAATGAGTTGGCCTGCATCGTTCGTCGGAACCCATTGGAACCCTGCACCGCACTAAGAATGCTGGGCAACGATGTTCCTAATTACATTGCAACGCTGCCGAAGGTCAGCCCAGCTTCCCAAGGCCCTTCACATCTGATTCACGTCCCTTCAGGTTCCCCCTTAGGCCTCGGGAGTGGCCCTCAGCGCCCGGGCGAGCTCCGCCATGCCGCGGAGCCTCGGCACATCGAGGGGCTTCGTTTGCCGAGGTGTGGTGATTGTGTCGTCGACTCACTGGACCAAAGTGTTCTGTTTGGTTAAGTGCTGTGACCAAAAGATACCAAAAGGCTTCTAAGTCTACTCTGCCTTTGCCTGGCTCACTTAGAATCTTTTGGCGATCGCCCATGTTTCAAGAAAGCATCGGCGATCGGCGATCACAATGGTCAAAACGTCCAAATGGGTTAATACGTTGTAATACCGTACGTACGTTCTGAGTTCTGTCAGCCTTTCGCTTTTGGGGAACATATCCCACTTCTATCTCCTGAGCATCCCTACGCCTGCGCTAGAGTCGCAGGAGCTTGGTCTTCTGGAAAAAGCCCCTGCGCAGGGCAGCAACATCCATCTGAGCGGCTCCCAAGTCAAAGCAGATCATCCAGAAACCAACTTTCAAGCATTTGGGCCAAGTACAATACAGTAATGAGATGTCATACGTATTATATCCTATAATGACATATGGTATACAGACTCCTTAAATCAAATTGATCTGCACCTCTTTTCCATGACCCTCACAGCTCCTTTCAGCGCATTCCTTTTTCTGTCTCTCCTCCGAATGCGGCAGCAAGTACGTCTGCACCGAGCGTGCCGGAATCGACGCCCGGAGCGCCCGGATCGGAGCATCGGGACCATTGCGGAGCCGCAGTTGGAAGTTCACGAAGAGGTTGGCAGCGTTCAGCAGCACCAGGACGACAGCACCTGGGTGTGAGATGAAAAACGGTGTCCCCAAAAAGAGGAAGGTGCAATATAGCAATGACAATATAAGTGATAAGGATCACAATATTAGTATATAAACATAATATGTGCCCAAAAAGAATGATGCAACAGGAAAACACAAACATGCCAAACTGTGCCGCGCTCAATCCAAAGGGATCTCTTCAATGCCCAACAAGGAAGGCTCCTAGCCTAGCGATACGAATTTGACACGGGATGGGCTCAGATTATATCGTTTCCCCAGAATCAATCCGCTCGTGCGGGACACCCCAAGAGAACGGACGATTGACAATTATGATCAATTTTCATACGCCATGAGAACTTCATCCAAGGATTCCACTACTTGAAGCATTACGTTCATCAAATTCCGCGGGTGATTGCGGGAATTGCAATAGAACTAAAGATGAAAAATGGACGTTGGTTTCGACAAGTGCAGTTGTGTGGGAGCTTGAAAGTTCATGAATGTGTCCAATCTGTCCTTAGATGGGGCCTTTCAGCACCTTGGCTCAGCACCTTGCCTCACCCCGCGACCCGCCGCAGCACCTTTCAGCACCCTAACCGGGTCGCCGTCCGGGCGTCGGAAGGCGCAGCCCTGTAGGCCATCCTGCGCGGTGCAGGTGCCATAGCCGCGGGATGAGCTGGTACAGCTGGGTGTGCCCAGGACGCGGGAGCAAAGGCCTCGAGAAGTGAGGAATGTTGAGGCTATAGTAGGACGGAGGTGGACTGGGCGCCGGAAGTGCTGCGCTTGGGAACGTGTGGAAAGTGGATGGCAAGCTCATGTCGCACCACGCGACAGCACTGAAGCTACCATGGCCACTAGTGCCCCACCCCGAGGCCCCTGAAGAGTAATCATAATCGGGTGGGCAAGCCGGGATGGAGCCTTCCTCCCCACAGAACAAAAGCAATCAAGAAAATAAAGACGCCTTCATGCTCCCAACTGAACTGCCAAGCATCGTTTTGAGCCTGGAGGAATGTATTTGGAGAAATGGCCCAAGAAGAAAAATTGTGGATGCAGGTGCAGCTCCTGCACGTAAGTGCTGTGCTGGTGCCCACTCGTGGGTTGGTGGGTGAGTCTAGGATATGACATGAAAACAGCGGCACTAAATTGAACTACGTATAGTTTATATGTAATTGTTTTAATTTATGTGTATATATATATACAGTGACAATCACCATTTGATTGACAGTTGTTGAATTCAGGGAGGGCAACCCTTGCTGGGAACACTGAGTTCGCAATAGTTGTGCACCGTCACCAGCCCCTTTTGTAGCTCTATCTCCAGGGAATTCCAGGGTCATGGCAAGCCAGCCGGTCTTCACTCTGCAAACCAGCCCAAGAAGTGCATTCCAAAAGAATGATTCTCTTTTAAGATTCGCGTCATTCAACGGAGGCCCGGCCCTTAGGTGGGTCATGGTGATTCTATCTCTTGCACACTCCAACCTTCTCCAAGCCTTCCAACCGCTCCTGGTCCGTGACGCTTGCCATCATCGGTGCATCACACACATTCCCCACGTGGTTCGGGCCCCCCGTGTCGTCCAGAAGCATGTTCCAGTCGATCCACCCCACGGCGCCCGCGTTCAGGTTGCCCATGATGTCATGAGCATAGCCTGTCGACATCTAAGGGCTGAACACAGCCACAGCAGTGGGTTAAGGTAGGATATGGTGGTATAGGACCATAGGATCTACCTCCGGGTACGGTGCAACATTGGAAGTTAGATGAAGTTTGGTAGGCGTACCTGGCCCGTCTGGACGATGCGCACGCCTGACCACGTATGACCACGTGAGGTCTCGGGAAATCAACACCCCAAAATTTACATAACGGGCACTCCTGGCAGTGCAGCCCGCTCTCAAAATTTAAGTCGCAAGCAACGAAATCGTCGGAAATGTCGGACACCTCTCCCAATGAAAGTTTACAAACCCAAAAGCTGCAACACGCATAGAGTTGCACGAAGTAAGAGCGAAGATACCAGCCAGAAACACTCTCAGCCATTCACACACGAAACTCACGACATCAAGCCAAAGCTCAGCTGCATGCCGTTTCATTTATGCAAATTTTGGTGCATTTGGCAAGGATCATTGGCGCGCTGCAAAGATGCAAAATGCTTCGAGAAACAAAGCTTTTCAATGTGCATGCTTCGAGCCATTGCTTGTTGCTCGGCTAGTGAATTCTGAAGCAAACACTCTGGGCAAATGTCCACAACCATTGTTGATGACACACCTCTATACAATTAGCAATATTGCATCCAGAACCGGGGGTGTTATAGTATGTAGTACGTGTGTAATTATAGTTAATTATGCACCTTCACCATACAGTACAACATGACCTGGAGTCAATCGCCATCTTCTGACACATTCAACCGAAAACTTGGCCAATCATGCTTGCCCCAAGCACTACCTCTGCTGCGAAAAAGGAGCTGAGCCACTACACCACAATCATTTTGGCTGCACACCATGTGGATCAAATCCATGGCACAGCTGCGCATGAAGCCGACCATACTGCTCGCGCACCTCTTCTTCAGTGATGACGTGCCAAAGTCGATGCAAGCTGCGAAAACTGTTCCCAGCCTTCAACATGAGGGTGTGCTCTTGCAGGAAAAGTGCTTCAGGTTCAGTAATCTCTTCTGGCCATTGGAGCAGGAGTCGCAATTCAGCTGCTCTTGGAAATCGTTCTTGCATCATCGCGTGTGCATTGGCAATGCTAGGAAGTGGGACAGGTGCTTTGCACGCATGCAAAAGGTATCTGCTCAAGTCCAAGCCCTCATGCCGCACCCTCAAGCAAGGGAAGTTCCGAAAAGCCTTCAGGCGGAAGTCTAGAAAAAGAGCATCCATTCGAGTGGAGTCAATGTTCGATAGGTACAGGTGTGATGCTCCGGAAAACCAACCCATTGAGAGGCGACGGGCCAACTCGTCGATGGGGTCCAGAATCATGCTTGACATGGCAGAGCAACGGTGAAAGCGTGGCATTCCACTGCTCTCACCTGGAGGATGGTCTGGCTCCATCATTTCTACTCGAACTTCAGTCACTTCGGCCCACGCTGGGCAAGCTGGCGAGGGATAGAAGCGAGGCTCCAAAGAGCCACGTGGGTCCACCCTCCTGAGGCAGCGAAGAATGTAGGAACAGTCGGTGGCATCGAGGACCAATGGCTCCCACGCACTCACAAGCTCTTTCAGTTGCCTGGCCTGACGATTGCTTGCTTGAAAGAGCAACTTTTCACGTAGCTTCAGAAAGGATGAGACTTGAGTTGTCAACACCAAAGGTAAAGGATACAGCAAGCTTTCTGCTTCAGTTGCTTCCATCTTTGCCGCTTTCGCTGGGACTTCCGAACACTCTTCAAATGCTGACCAGAGTGAACGAGGGGTCACACATGGTCTCCGTCGACCTTTCACTTTGGTCAAGCCAGAGGCATTCCGCTTCTGGGGGCCCGCGGGCGTCAGTGCCACGCAGCTTCGCACCACCAAATCCGCAAAGGCCTCATCTTCAGCTGCTTTGTCTCTCAGGGCCTCTGCCAAGACCTCTGCCACACGGGGCGATTGCCGAAGCAGGACTACCAGGAATTGGGGATCGTTCAAGTGAGCATCGATGAGCTGCTGCGCTCGATCTCGTCTTCGGGGTCTCGCTCTTGTCCTGATTGGAACTGGGCTGGGAGGCAAAGCTTTGGGAATCTCCCATGGTCTCATGGCAGCTCGAAAGGTGGTGCCCGGCAGTGTGCCTGATCTGCGTGGAGCCGAAAAGAATCTCACAGAAACGTCTAGTTGTTTAACACCCAGACACACATACACTGGCATATAACTATACTGTATATATACACTATATAACGTATATAAACAGTATTCATTTATATACATGTCCAACTTAAAGCTCTTCTCAGGGAAACACAGATCCACTGGTAAACTTTATCCACTCATATCCACTCATATTATTTGGCTTCTTCCACTGGCCTAGTGACTAGTGACAAGTGGCTTTGTCCTAATTAATCCACCCCTTTAAAGGCCGAATGCTCCAAGCTGGTCAACAAATACAGGCGCACTTTGCTTCCACAAAAGGATTTACATTACTGAGTGTTCTTGCCCTGAGGGGGCTGCCTCGTAGCCTTTTCGTGGGAATCCACTACTCACGAATTTAATGTCTATCTAATCTAACCCAATCTCACGGATGAACATCCCTTGGAAGGCAAACCACTCCAAACAAACCACCCCAAAAACTCTCCGTTTTGCTGCCCGGTCTTCCATTCCGGTCTTCACCGAGGAACTCACCACCGACCCACCCGAAAAAAAAGACCGCACCTTCCCCGAAGCTCCAATCGCCCTCAGAAATCTGCGTGCCGGGCCGCCAGCGATGCCGCTCCTGAAAGGTCGATTGGAGGAAAAAGCTTGGGAGCCAGGGGAGGCGAGGAAAACACCTCCAGACGAGCTTCTTCTTTGGGGCAACCACGGCGTTTTGGAGAGGTCTAACTGGAAAAATCCCTAGATTCCATGTCCATCTTCGAATTCCAGGGATGCTCAGCTCTATCGGAAGACACGCACTCCCGCGCACCGAGCTGACGGATCGTAGCTCTCGTCGTGAACCGAACCAAGCTGAAAGGTCGGTCGCTGTGGGGAGCGAGCCGAACGGTCGCTTCACCACCTCTGGGCCGAACCAGGGCGGACGAAGGACTTACACCGAAGGAGGGTGATCCAAACCATCTTCTTCCACCCAAGATCCGTTTCCAAAAAGGGGAGGACAGGTAGGATCTGCAAAGGCAAGCTGCAACAAACCATCTCTTCCAAAATATCCCCAATGTGGAAGACTTGCTAGTGAAATGGTACATTTCTCCCACCCTGCTTACCACACCATGCTGGGCCAAGCTGCATAGCAAGCCTCGGTGGACAGTAGAATGGCCTCCGGGAATTCCTCGTGGGTCTTCCGAAGCTTCTCGAAGTGGTCGCCCGCATACCAGTGAAAGGCCACCCCACGTATGAAGGGTCGCGCTTGTGGGTGACTCAAAGATTCACGGGCCCATTCCTGAGAAGAAAGAGGACTTGGATGTTTGAAGTAGACAACCAACCCCAAAAGAACATGGCGGGCCGTCATCAAACGTACCTCCAATGTTCGCAAAAAGCAGAGTTTTAGACTGTTGCACTTTTCCTGGACAATAGATGTGCGCATGGCACACCTGGTCATGCCACATCTATGTTCCGGTTCTTTATACGCAATCAAAGTCACTTCACAGCTGCGGCAGCAACAGAATCAGAAATCAACCCAAATGAGTGACGAACGATGTTTGGCTTCTGCTGACACTGCTATGCACTGCTCGACTAGATGCGCAGTTCTCTGCACTATCCCAGCTTTTGTCCAAGCTGTTACAAGTTTGATTCTCGCACGGTTCCTTTTCGCAGCAGCGAATCGACTCAAGGCGCCTGTTCAGCCAAATAGCAGCGATGGTGCATCAACTGTACGCAATACACCCTGGCTACAATCGGTGAAATTCACACCGGATGAGTTTCTGCGTCTCAGGGGTGCAGCGCTCATACTGCAACGTCCTTGACACCTTGCCAGCTTGCGTCTCGCTGTCCTCTCCGAAGCGCTGAGCAACGAATGCTCGGAACTCTGCAGTGTCATTTCCAGCGTCGTCGAAGGTGGCCATGGCGACTAACGGGCGTCTTACCCGCGAGAAAACGGTGAAACCTGTCCACGCGCGAGAGTCAACGTTATCCATGCCCGGCATGGACTCGCTGGTCGCTCGACTGCCGTCTTCATAGACTTTCCTGGTCACGCGTCTTCCTCCGAATCCTTCCGGAACATCTCCGTCATACAGCGGATGGAAGTCATGGAATCTCCTCTTGTTGTGAACACGAATTGCATGACTCTCAGAGATTCTCCAATGGTCTTCATTGTCAACCATTGCAAGCATGACCTCATCGTCACCGACAATGCCTCCGGGGGTCATCGGAACTGCACTTGCGCTTGCACTTGCGCTTGCGGATGATCGGGCAGCCTTGCCCGTCTTATCTTCTGCTTGTGCTTCTCTCTTGTGTCCCTTCTTAGGGCTTGCCTCTTCGTCCATCATTGGGATATACTTCTGCTGTCCCAATGTCACTGCTTCTGGGAAAACCGGGATGTTGTTCAAAATGGAGTAGGCCAAAGATTCACTCTCATTGGCTGATCTGAGTTTTCCAGCAGCACACAAAACAGGAACACCTTCATGTAGCAACCAGATGCCATTATGCGGGTCAACGCCAATCACACGCGAAGCAGTGGACCACACGGTTCCACCTTGCTGGGTGTCACGACGGTAGACCACGAGGTCTCCAACCACAAATGACTTCTTGTTCTGGACTGCTGCATTCCTGGTCAATGCTCTTGCAACACGGGAACTTGTGTCCAAATGGATGAATGCCTTTTGTGCAGCCATGCGGGATGCATGACACAAATGATACCTTGCTGCAGGATCAAGCTTGTTATCCATGTCTGTCACAAATCCTGGAACTCTTGGGTTCCTTCCCAGGACCCATTGCGCTGGAGAATAGCCTTGGACTCTCTGCATGTGGTTCTTCACGGAAGTGCATTCATGCAAGCATGTCTCAAATGCATCACGGCCTACGGCTTCCATGTCATGGATGGTCTTCCTGAGAATTGCCTTCAAGATACCTTGGTGCCCTTCAACCTTGCCAATGGCTGACGGTGTCTCCAATGGTGCATAGAAGATCTCGACACCGTGCGAAGCGAACAGCTTGGACACCTCACCTCTCTATCCATGATTGCAGCCTTTGGAAAACCTGCCCAACTGATCCATCTACGAAGAATGGCTTGTGCACAGGCCTCTGACGTTGGCATACCTCCACCTTCTTTGACAACCTCTGACAAATGGAACCCTGTCGAAATATCCAGCATTGTGAGAATGCTGTACTTGTTTCCTGCATAGTCCTTCATTTCTGTGACGTCAAGGCCAAGCATGGCATTGAACTCATACTGGAAATTACTGTTTCCTACCGGATGGTCACGGGGACGTGGTGCAGTGTCTTCGCATGACTGACAACGGACAAGACGCGCCGCTTCTATCAACTCCTTGCTTGCCTTACCTGCCTTTAAAATGTTCTTCAAAGTTGACGGTGCAGGATGTCCGAACTGCCGATGCAAGCGACGGATTGCAACGCGGGTCCTCTGGGGGAGAGCACGCCACAACTGCCTTCGTTTCTGTTCCGTCATGTCGGCTCCGGGCAATGCAAGTTGATCTAACATGAGTTCTTCCTGTTCTCTTGCGGACAACGGTTTCCCATCGTCTTGCTTGACCTCCTGGGGAACTCCTTCAATATCAATGTCGTCAATTTCAGAGATGTCTTCAAGTTCGTCTGCAACAAAACATGTCCGTGCAAAATGCTCCAAATAAGTTTCTTCCGACAAGGTATTCAACATCTCTAGGAGTCTTGCTGATTTCGCGTCTTCAAAACACTTTCGAGTCATGTTCTCTCCGCACCAACCTTCCAGCGCCTCCAAGAGCTTGGGGCTCTGCGGGCCTGCCAGAGCAAACTCTAGGTCACCACCAAGACAAATGGAATGTTCAACTGATATCACGAGGAGTGGTGTGAAGAGTAGAAGGTTGCATCCATACATGTCAACTTCCATGAGCATGTCATGCCAAATCCTCCTAGGGTCCATGTTCTCCAAAAACAAAACTACCAAACCAGGGATCCTGTTCGAGATGTGCTTGATGACCTCTTTGCGGGTCTTTCCCCAACTTCGTCCTACATCGAATACCTTTGCACTCTGGGGTGCATTTGTCAGCAAGTCATCCTTGACAATGACCATGTGTTGCACACTCAACGGATTGTTCGAGACGAGTGCATGCAAGACCGAATCGTTCTCTTGCAAAGTCTGCAGGCCAGTGACGAACGCTTGTTTTTCTCCCTTGTTCATAGTCCGATGGTCCAGAGCTACGAAAGCGTGACCTTCGCTATCGGAACTCAGCTCGATCTCTCCCTGAAAGCGGCTCAGGATGAACTTGTCTCGGTCGAGCACCTCACGTGAACAGGTCGGACGATCCGGAGTGCTTTGTGTGCTCATGTTAATTAGATCATCGTCTGACAACTCCTCCTTGGGTGCGTTCGACGGGTCAATTGCTGTGCAACCAAGAAACGGTTCGACAAGCTCTGCATCACGTGGCTCTTCCATGCTTTCCTCCTTGGGGATCTCGGTTGCTGGCTCTACGGGCTCTGCCATGCTCGTTGATTCTGCCTTGATACGTTTTGCTGGTCCTCCGCCTGAATCACCGCCATCGCTTCCTCCGTCACCAGGCGGGTCCTGGCCGTCCTGATCATCGTCATCGTTCTGTCCGTCACCTCCTGGGGCTTCCTCTTCTTCGACTTCTTCCAATTCCACGGGCTTGGTAAATGGAGGTGAGAAGATCAAGATCCTTCCTCTGGAATACCAGTCAAGCTCAAGTGGCTGATTCTCCAAACTGGCCCTCAGCAAAGTCATCTCCCATTGACCCTCGATGTGCTCGAAGCTGGTTACCTGCCAACCATCTTCTTTCATGTAGTCGGTGTAATACGCTCTCCCAGGCTTGGAGCTGTGCTTCCCGTCCCGTGATCATAGCTCTCGTGCTGAAGGACGATCTTCACATTGAGCTCGTGGTTGGACATGGCAATCTCTTTGGACGTAAGAGATGTGGATCCGGGGAAAAAGGGCCCCACCCAGCGAAGCGCTGAGCGAGATGCCTTCATCCCGATGTCTGGCACCGAATCCCAAATTCGGTCAAGCAGTTCAAGCGGCATGTGCTCGAGGTTCACTCGGCGATTCCACGGTCCATCGCCTTCCACCGTGGGGAATTCGAGATGCGATGGCCATGCAGCCGTGGCTCTTGGAAAATGCGATGCTCCCGGGTGCTCTGAAGAGGTTGCATATCGACGCTCCTGCCAGGTCGACCGTTCCGACTCTCGACTGGCTCCCCGGCCGGATCCATAGCGATGCCATCTGGGTGCGGTCCTTCCGGTTCCCTTGGTCGCACCTGTGGTGGCGTTGGGATGCGACCAAAGGATGGCGATCTCCTCCTCGATGAGCTTCGGCTTCTTCCACGACGATACTCTCTGCTGTCATCACGCCTTCTTCGAAGATGGCGCCCCCTGCTGTCCGATCGTCCTCGCCAATATCGGTCTCTTGACCTTGATCTCCTTCTCTCACGCTCTTGCATCTGCTTCACTTGCTGTGTCAACAATTCAACGGTCTGCAACAAGGCCTGTGTTGCAGCATCAGGCTGACTCGTAGGCACTGATTCACTCCTTGGCTCTGCTGGCTTCGAGGTCTCGGCCTTTTCACGACGACGAATTTCAGCATCTTCATTGTAGCGGTTCTCATCTGCATCTCGTGCTGGTGCCTCGGGCGCCGATGCCTTTGGCGTTGAAGCTGCAACAGGTGGAGCTGGCGATGCTGACCTCACTGATCCTGGTCCTCTGTGGGACACGGTGGCTGATCCTTTTGGCATAGGCGCTGATGCTTTTGCTGGGCTTGCCTTCACTACTGCAGGGCGTATGATGGGAGGCTTCTTTGGGCACGGTGGTGGTGGCAACACGCGAGTGTCAACGGGGGCTTGAGTCCTCCCCTCAGTCTCGTCCTCGGCCTCGATCTCAGAGTCAAACACAACTTGACGCACCTGGTTATACGACGGTGCGGTCTTCTGGGCGAACTGCTTCAAGACATAGTCCCTTGACCTCAGGGCTGCTTCCAAAGCATCGCGTGACTCATGCTTGCACATCACGCATTTGCCCTTGCAAGATCCACTCATCTGGCTCCATGACTCTGCCTGATTGGAGTGGGTCAAAGTCAAGTGGCATCCGGAGCAAAGCTTCTGGAATGCGGTTGCGACCAACCAACCAAAGGATACCGATCTATGTCGGTTTCGCCTGCAATAGGCCACAACTGCCAACTGCTGCCCCTTTTCGTGGCTCTCCTTGAGGTGATGGAGCACGTAGTGTAATGCTTCCATCGTCTTTTCACTTCCAACCATGCCACGAATGATCTCCGGGTGGCTGCCTATGTGGGCCCGCAGCTGCGGGTTATGCTGGGGATCCCCAAATCCCATGCAATCTACCACAAGTAGCCGCCTGCCAGGATCAAATTTCGACAATATGGGCCCAAGGGTCACCATATTCTTGCACCTGTCGAAACTGGCAATCTGCCCATGGAACTCTTTTCCACAGGTCCAAATATGCACGCAAGAAGCATCATCAAGCGTGAAAGTGCCTCTTGCCGGGCGTTCCTCGTCTGCCATGAACGCTGTGAGCTGATCGGTGGGGCGAATGTTGAAGTTCATACCAAACTCTGTGTTCTTGAGTTCACGGAGTTGCTTGGGGAGTCTTTTGGGCTTCAAACTCTTGAGACCTTCTGAGAGGTTCACGCGTAGGAGTCCTGAGTTCCTAGCCCTACACAGTTCAAGCTCTTCGTTGCCTACATAGCACTTGGCATCTCCCATGGATTTCGTCAAATGCAATGCAGCTTGAGCATGCTGTGACAAAAGCAATGGAATCCTTCCATCGACAACGTGCGTTTCCATGACTCCCGGAAGTTTCGTCTCGGGGTCCAAAAAGGTCAATGCGAACGGAATCCGACACTTGCCCAAAGTTTTGGTGTCACCGGCGAGTCCTCAAAATGCTTTTGAGTCACTCTGCAAGTCCGCTACATCATACCCAAGACGTGCATACTTGTCTTTGGCGTTTTGGATCCATGCTTGTCCACAAACAGTTGCATTACATCCTTCGTCCAACACAGCCCAGACTCCAGGGTCTTCCATGATGTCAACAAGACGAAGTGTGTTTTCGATCGTGGCTTCGTTGAGATCCGACAAAAGTCCCATGAAGCAAGTCTGCGGACTGGCCTCTCTGACGCACTCCACGGCATTGGCAAGGATCTCAAACAGGACGCCAATCCTCACGGGCTCTCCTAACTCCAGTTCACTCTCAACATCCTGTCTGAACATTTCCATGATCTCTAGTGTTCCTTCGGGTGTCATGCAGGAATTGTTGATCTCATGTTCAATCACTGATGCAGTCGTGTCGAATGCATTGGAACGCATGCTTGCTACGCTCTTTGCCATTGCCTCTCTCTTGCGCGCCTCTTCTCGGGGCATCTCGTCGACAATGGTTCCACACAACTTGCAGTACAAACGAGATGTGGTCTTTGAGCTGCCTCGCCGATCCGTGACTTCATGTTTGCACCGTGTGGGATCGGTGACGGGCTTGCTCTCTTTCTTCTTCTTCTCACTCTTTCCACAGTCAAGGCATGTCTTGTTTTCAACATAGGCATTTGAACCTTGAAACGTGAATCTGGTGCAACGGCGGCAGGGTACCTCCAGTGGGGGATTTGGTGGTTTCCCTTTTGCACTCTTGTCTCCGGCACGTCGGACTGCCTCCTCGGGCATGTCTGTCAAGGGATGCTCTCTCAAGGTCACGTCTCCACTCGGACTGACTTCGTAGTATGTGGTCACCCATGTCAGAAAATCTGCCAAGCAACGCGAAGGGTGCGAAATGCCTGATCCCCATTGGTAGTATCCAGGGTACTTGAACAACACTTCATGGTATGTCAAACCTTGGTGCTGACCAAACACAAAGACACTCTGTGAATCTTCAGGCAAGAGGTCTTGCTCCATGTCTCTATTCCTACGCATGGACGGCGGGGACCTTTGCGGCGACCGACGGACATTTGGCTCAACCATCGAAAAGCTAGATGGCTGACTGCTAGTCACTCCTGACGACATGGATGCACGATCTGACGGTTCAAACTCCAGCTTCTTTGGGAACATCTTGTATGCCATGTAGCACGTGCCGCTATCAGCGGTCTGGCCACTGACATCAACACACATGTACTCATCTTCAACAGAAGACTCATCATCACTTAATGCGAAGTAGGCTGTGGCTTTGCTCGTTGACGACGTTCCTCCGGGGGACTTGTCGTTCTGCTTGGGGAACTTGCAGGCAGGGTCTCCTGCCCAATGACCTTTTCCACCACAACGCAAGCATTTGGACACTGCCTTCAACTTTGCTAGACGTGCGATTCTGTCTTGCACGCTCAACTGTGTCCTGAACACATACTTGCCTTTTCCTTTGCCTTTACCACCTTTCTTTCCTGATCCTTTGCCTTTGCCTTTGCTCTTGCCTTTCAACTGGTCAGTCACGACAAAGGCCATCATCTGGTGCTGAGCTGCACTGCCCAGTTCTTCTGAGACATCATTCTCTTCATCATCACATTCTCCCGTTGCCATCAACGCTGTGGCAACTTCAGGGTCCTCGACATAGTCTTCATGTTCTTCGTCTTCTGGTTCTTCATCTTCTGCTGCGACATAAGCTTCATGCTCATAGTCGTCCTCTGCTTCTGGTTCATAGGACTCTTCATAATCCCATGAGTCGTCTTCAGCGATGTACGCGGATCTCTGCCAACCGCGTCCTTTTCCTCCTTTGTAGGAAGACTTGCTTGAGAACTTGCCTCCGCCTTTCTGCCTCCGGCGGCTTGCATTGCCAAAAGCGGACCAGCTGCGCAAGTGAATCTGTCCATGGAATTCAAGCAAGAATTTGGCGTAGACATCAAAAGTTTGGTTGTCGCCTGCAGCTGTCTTGATCATGAGCTGTTCTGTCTTGCTCAAACCAGAGCCTTCCAGAAGTAGCTCACCACGCATGGGGTCTGAGAGACTTCCCCCGTCATCCATCTCCAAAAGCTTCCTCCACCAACGACGTCTTCGTGAGATATAGCTAGTCATGCTTTCTGTCGATTGGCGAGACAAGGGACCATGTGGGAGTTGACCCACTCTGAACAACTCACGTGCTTCTTGTTGTCGAAGTGGAAAAACTTGTGCACGGATACGCGAAATCAACTCATCGATGCCAGTTGGAGTCAACAGCTTCTCCAATCCCATGTCTTGAGCTGCAAGGTATGCGTCACCTCGCAGGCCTTCCAACACTTTGTGAACAAGTGTTGCATACTCTGCTCCATCATCGTCCAGTCCGGCAGTGCTCAGAGCTGGTTCTTCCTCGTCTTCTACGATCACAGTCTTCGGGGTTCCAAAGGCTTCAAATCGTACGTCCTCATCTTCTGATACATCCTCAGCCTCGGTCGCATGAGTCGGCCTCCTCTGAGAACGTTCTGGTGTGGCTGATTGGCTTCCATAGCTCGAATAGGTCTTCTCTGACTTCTTCTTCGCATGTTTCTGCTTGTACAAAGCAACGCGGACCTTGGTGCGAAATTCCCATTCGAAGAAACCATTTGGATTGCCACTGTAGATATATGATCCGCTCTTCGTCTCCTGCGGTCCTGAGATACTTCCTCCATGGGATGTGTACCGCAGGCCAGCCAGCGACATCGCAACTCAACAAAGTTCCGCAAAGCACTGGAATTACAACGGTTCAACGGGTTCAACGGGTTCAACGGGTTGCGCGCAGGGTCACGCAATTGGGTTCAACGGTTGGATCCAGCGAGTCTCCCCGGGTGAGTCAGATCCTGAGGGTGCCCCTTCAGAACCTGCTCCGCTACCAGTTTGATTCTCGCACGGTTCCTTTTCGCAGCAGCGAATCGACTCAAGGCGCCTGTTCAGCCAAATAGCAGCGATGGTGCATCAACTGTACGCAATACACCCTGGCTACAATCGGTGAAATTCACACAAGTATGAGGCGCCTGTTTATGATGCACATTGAGTATATTAATTGAAAGTTCAATGACTTTTTTACCAAACACTACCACACCATTTGGCAAGTCTGGGCACCAATTACATGAATTCCGGACATTCGGATTCCGGCTTGGACCGGATGCCCCAAAGAAGAGAGTCAGTCTTCGTCTTCAGAATAACCTGAAATCCAAATTCAAAGCTTCGTAGATGTGATCCTTGTTGTGGTCATACACAAAGATGCCCACATCCGGATGCATCGCTCCTGGAGACGTGCGAGCGAAAGCGCGCTCGCTCTCAGCGCGCCATGTCTAAGGGGCCTATTGAATAGCCGGCATACATGGGAGACCTCGACCGCTCATCCCATGTCTCATCTGACATCAATAGATTTGTCTCAAAACTAGGGCAATCCTGAAGTCCCACAGATCTCTGTCGTGCCAGAATTGTTCTAACCTCGAAAAGATTGCTTTCGGATCCCTTTGGGAGCACGCACCAGCCCCAAGAAAATGCATCTTGTTCTACTTAGTAAGTGGGTCAGCAAAACAGGATGTATATAAATAAAAATGTATGCAGTATATTGAATATATTGACAACAGCACTAACATACTATAGATACCATATAACCGTACTACAAAAAAAGAAACGAAGCATCTCCCGACATCGCCAGGTCCAAGTTGCGCAGGGTCGGACCCAAGTGCTTCGCCACAAAGTCTGCCTCCTCCTGGGCTGTGTAGCAGCAGGCCTCCCAAGGGGCATTGTGTTCCGGTTCGTTTTGCACGGTCACCGCCCAGATCTTCACGTGTTGCCGGCGGTAGGCCGTGATCCACTTGGCAATGTATCCTGGGGACCGGCGTGAACTGCCCACGTGGCTGGAAAGTCGATGACCAAATCGGCAATTGCTCTCAAGAATCCACACACTGTGAGTTCTACGACGTCCCATTGACCTACAAGTAACTATGATTCATGCATGACTCATGCCATCACAAAGCCGGGCTGTCCGGCCACCTCTTCGCAGCAAAGTAGCCCTTGCAAGCCTTACACGCCTTTCACCATGTCTTAAAACATTTCCGCGGGAATTGATCACTTTCAAAGAGCTTCCCTTCTTGAATCCCTAATCCTCTTCCACCCCCTCCTCTACCAAGTCTCCAGCCCAGACCTCCTGGCACTCAGCTCTCAGCCCGGGCTTCTCTGAGCCGTTCATCTTCTTCCCGCTCTTCATCCACGCCGGAGGACTCCAAGGACTCGCCACCAGCCGCAGCTCCCGAGCGCCTGCGCCCCCCGCGGTGTCCACCCGCGCGGTCGCGTCGCGGATCAAGGGGATCAGCGCCTTGCCGTCGCGGGTGACCTGGCTGCTCTGGCTGCTCTGGCGCTGTGGCGAGGTCCAGGGAGGCTGGGAGTTGGGAAGATTTAGTGTTGATGATAGGAAAAGACTTGCTGTAAATGGTGGCTTCAAGTTCCAAGCCAAGGATGTTACCTTGTTGGAGACGCTGATTTGAAAAGATCACCTGCCAGCCTGACAGCCTGCCAACCTGCAGCCCTAATCTCATGCAATCCCATGTCTATAGTCCTTTTTCTTGCATACTTCCCCCAGAACAATATATAATGCTTTCGGAAAGGGCCACATGGAACACGGTAGGTGAGACAGGTGTGACATATGGTTTGATCCTGTGCTGGGGGGGTCCTGCTGAACGGAGCCATCAGGCAAGTCTGGACTCGCTTTGCCAGAGGACACTAAAACAGCTGAACCCTTTTTGACAAGGAAATTGGATACGTTCCCATGACCAGCCATGGCCTGGAGGTCGAAGTGTTCCAGGTCGAAATCGTCCTGAAAACGCCGGGTTGAGGTGTCGCGATCATCTGTGTTGCTACGAACTGTGGCCGTCACATGAGAGAAATCCCTGGACCAATAACCCTTGAAACATGAGGTGTGGATACAGTACCTAGAAGGCAAGAGTCCTCTCTTTGTCCCCAACATGTGAGGCCTCACACAAGCAAAGCGTTACGATTGGCACCGTGCTCGGCCGCATCCTCCACGGGGTCAAAGCAATAGTTCCCCAAGGAAAAATCACAGCTGTTGATATGTACCTCAGCCATGCGGTGCCAAACTCGTCTGTTGGGTGAACAGCATGAACAGCAAATGAGCAAAAGGGATTCTTCTTGGAAGACGAAACACCATGCCAAAGAAGAATGTCTTCTCGCACCAAAGAGGAAGATCTGTGACTGCCGAGGGGAACATCAAAGGCAGAATCGCCAAGGCACACGGCCCAGGGTGAAGCCAATGCCGTCCTCTCCGAAGTAGAGGTCCTGACAGGGAAGGTGGACTGCCTCAAATGGACAATCCCCGTATGGAGCTTCTGATGTTTAGTGAGCTTGTGCTATTGGCCAGGGTGTAAGCCAGCACACATGTCCCAGAAATATATACAGCCTGCATGTGGGGTCATCTCCTATGCTCCAACATTCCGATACATTCGCATCATATCCCAACTACAGCCTAAAGTCCTATAGCCGAAGCCCCCAAGCGCCGGTCACGTTCACCACAGTGCAAGCGTGTCTCCGCCCGTCCACCCACGAAAGAACCACGTGGTCGTGTCCAGCAGCTCGTGCTGCAGGTAAGGCGCCAGGCCCTGGAAGACCAAGGCGCTGGCTTCGGTGAAAGCAGCGCCGAATCCCAGGATCTCCTGGCAATAAGCGGCTTGGGACCGAAAAAAGCGGGAGAGGAGCGCAAGGAGCGGTTTGGGCCGTGGAAGAGTGTGGAGATGAGTGTGGAAGATGTGTTTTTTTCGTGGGAGAGTTGTGGATGGATCTATGATTAATATTTATCTTTGATGATGATCCATGTCTATGCCCATATCACTGTCTCCACCACGTTCTATCTCTATCTTGTGCTGGGTAGCAGAACATGAAGATGGAAATTCATGAGCACTACCATTCCTCAGCTCGGGGCCAATGCTTTGGGCTTTTAGCCGGAACACTACAAGCAACCATTCGATGCAGGAAGCATGGATGAGATTTAGCATGATTGCTTTCTTTGCAGCACAGCACCGAAGCACGAAGTGTTCTGCAGTATGAGAACCAAAGAATCAAAGAGATTGTTCAGCAAGAGGGTACTACCGGGTGAACAGAACTACCGCATAATACTCGTAGCAAGCGCACCGGACGCAGCTTCGCAAAGCGTGCTCAGGAGGCCCTTGCACAGTCTATGTTGCGTCTCAGCCCTGTGCAACTCACACCCCTTCAAAGACATGCACAACTTTGGATCTTCCACAGGGCTCACATCCGAAAACGGATTCCCCGTCCGCTGCACTCGGATGGCCGACGTCATCCCCGTCCCTGGTCTCCTGCTCAGGTAGGTCCAAGTCGACCTCCATGACAGGGCCCTGGAAGCCGAAATCCGCCTGTCCCCCAGCTACGCCGAGTTCGGCACATCAGTCAAGCTCAGACAGTGTCACCAGCCCCTATCCCTAGGTTGGCACTCCCTAGTAGAATCTAGTAGTCTATTCTGCTCGTGTTTGGTCAACCGGGGTGTCCCGGTGCCATGACCCACAGCTGATCATCTTCCCGCCGCTAGCGAACCGACCAAGGTCGACCGAGCCGATCGAGTCATGGAACTCCATTCTGAGAAGAAGATTGAAAAAGGGTATTAGCCTACTGAACGAAAGGAATCTGAGAAAAAGGGTCAAAAAAACGACTGATTCATCCTGAGTCATTCATCAGCTTTCCTATAAGCTTCTTAGGTATCTATAATTATATATATATATGTTTTTTTAATTCCCGAAAATCCGATGTTCCGCTCTAGTGGACTCTCTCCCCCACACCCACTGCTGTGTCGACCGGGTGTCGATTGTTCGCTCGTCTCGACCGGTGGCCTCCACTTGGGGCGCTTCGACCGCCGTCATCCGTTCGCCAGTGTCCCAGCTGCTCTGCACCAGTTGCACCTTTGAAGCACCTGGTGAGCTTTACAGGTTAGGCAGTTAGGCATTCCTTCTGGATGTCCCAATTGAGTGCCAGAGATTTTTCGGAGCAAACTGCATCAAAGAAGTCGGTCCACCTGGTCAATGTTGACATGACATGGCCCTTCAAACAACTACCATTTTGAACCCCTTGAAGAATCGCCTCCGTAGAGAGCGAACCCCGGCCTGGCATCAAGACTCCCGGCCGCCAGCCAGACTGGAAGCTCCAGGGCATCCGCTTGGGCAAAGGTTTCCTGGCCTGACGAACGGAAGCCTGTCCAAACGATGGTGGGTTGCAATCAAAGGAAGGAGGCAACAAAAATGCTTCTTGGGTCTTGACTCGTAGCCTTCATGCCAAAAAAAATGACAAAAATGGACTGCGCACGGACAGGTTCCCGGATGTCAATGTGGAAGGCATGGACGTGCCTCCAGCAATGCATGGATATCTCGCAACAGCTTGAGGATCACCTCGGCTCAGTGCGTGATTGCAAGTGAGCCCATGCAAGTAGCTTCTTGTTACTACTAGTAAGGCACTTGTTACTAGAAGCGATGCACTTGTTCCTAGTAGCAGCATGGGCCCATGCGTGTCACCTGGGTCACAGTGACCCATGCATGGGTCTCCGTGATCGACTCTGGAGACTTCCCAGGCACGGCATCCCAAGTGCAAGCCCTGGTCTGCGCCCTCATCTCGATGACACCACGCAGCGATGGCTCGAAACCATACCTGAGCATGATGGGTTCCCCAAACGACGCCCATCAGCTGGTGGAAGGCCATCGAAGCAAAATGTTTCAACCGGCCCACGAATTTGGGGACCAGGAATTCATTCCAACAGAAGTCCAAAGATGTGCACAATCCCACCTATCTTCAGCCGCTTGGCACCGCTATTGTATTACTATGCCTCTCCAAGGAACTTCTCCAAGACTTTTGCCTGCCTTTGGAGGGTAAACTCCACATGCTGACCATGAGCTGAAGGTGAGTTTCGAAGCTTCATGTACCTCACATGACAGAGTAACACAGGAAGGCTCAACGGCATTCATTGGGGCCTGTCTGCAAAGCAGGCACACAATGCTGCGGTAGTTATAAATTATGTGAGTTGTGTGCGTGATGTGTACTGAACTGTAGATGGTGAACCCCCCGGCCAATCAAGATGCTCTCACAGTTGACGATTTTGGGCAGGCCAGGCTAGGCCAATTCAATGCTAGAAAATGCTTGAAATATCATTGAGGTCACCTCAAGTCTCACACAGGCTACACATGATACAATTACAGGCTACGGCTAGGGTGGTGCAGCCAGATTCTGCCAGGGCCAGAGCTCATTTCACTTTGGTTGCTTTGTCGCTGGTGCCGCAGCATTTCCATTGCGGCTCGACTGGGCCACGGCAAAGCCAGCACTCGACTTCGTGGGGGATCCCCACATCCAAAAGAAACCCAGTTCATGAAACAGTTCATTCAGCTACTAGTACGTTTGGAGAACTTCTTGCTCGAACGGGGCATGGGTTTGTAGCATTGTAGAACTGAAAGACCTGCGCCACGGCCGTGGCGACCACCAACTTCACACCGTCCAAGTCCAACCCACCAGGCAGGCACTGAAATGTCGACAAGCAGGACAGCGGAGTCCACTGGGGCTCCTCTTCGTGCTGACAGCGCCCGTATGGTGACAACGAGAAAAAGGACTTCCCACTTGGACTGCATCCGTGCGAGCCGGCGCCCGCCGGTTGGCCCATGGTGGCGAACCCAAACGTATCTCTTTTCCAAGCCGATGTTTGGTGTGGCGTCCCAAGGAATGACGCCATTGATTCGTGCGTCCCGATACTTGGGCCGCAATCGAGCAACGCAAAACAGGCCTGGACTTCGACAGGAAGTGGAAGAAGTGATTCGTTTGCATCTGTGGATCATGTCAAATCCCACTGTGGCCTCATCGTCAAAATGGCCATGATCCCAGCATTGCATAGCAGTGTTCCATCGGCGCCGTACAAAACCCGTTCGGAGAATTCTGCTTTGATCGTCCAATCACCCTGCGGGCTGCACTCAGGTGCCAGCGCAGCGTCCGTGCACGAAGTCCTGAACCACCGGGCGGCTTCGTTGCACTGGAGCAGCTGAGCTGCAAGAAGCACAACTAAAGACACAAGTTGACCTTGGTCCTCTTGCTTGTGTGAGCCAGCTGGGCACAGCCATGCGCTGAGACAGTTCTCTTCCACCTTCTGTGGCAAACAGTTCGTCTGTCACATTCCCCACATTCCCCACCAACCAACACGAATCGAAGGCCCTCTATGGCCCGGGTGTTCTAATCCACTTGGTCCGACCGGGTGAGACCCCCCATCGGCGCACTCTCGGTGAAAGTCTGGCTCCGCGTAGGCTGCACGGAGCTCTGCCAACATGGCCGTACAGCCCTGCAGGGAGAACTGCAGCAGTGCACCGGTCGCTTGGGGCGCGCCTCAGGCGCGCGAGGCGGTCGCAAGGGACGGGTCAAGTGGATCGGGGAATGGAGCGGTTTGTGAGCCAAAAAGCGCCTTAAGAGATCTTGATGGTTGGGTTACACGGTTACACTTGGAACGTCAATCAGCTGGCGGGAGTGTCATAATGGCGCTGCTTCACTGCCAAGGGGCCAAAAAGGTCCGAAGGAACATCTGCCTGCACATCGGTGACCCAGTGCACGCTCATCAGGTCTGGGGTGACCCAGGCATCCAACACTGCGATCAAACAGGTGAGGATATGACGATGAAGTCGCTGTCTTGCGTACCCCCAAAAAAAGAAACGCACTGAGATTGAAGAACACCAACGATGCAGCTCCCAACAAAGGGACTTATACCGCCTATACTGTTCTTTTTTTTCCATGGCAAATTGCACCGTCACCTCGGTGCGAGCACCGCACCGGCACCGAGACGGTGCGGAGGTTTCGCACAAAAAAAGGAAAGCCTGTTGGGTCATTAGGGTCTCTCGAGATAAACATTGAATAAACAAATATATAATAATATATATTGGGTCATACATGGTCATACTGTAACCCAGAACCTGGGGTTCATGTTCACTGTTCATGTTGGGTCTGCTTAAGAAGCAAACATCCCCCGTTTCACCGGACTGCCCCGCCTCCTTGAGGCGTGGCTTCGCGAAGAGCGCCACCAGCTTCCGAGGGTCCCCTGACTGCTCAGGCCGAATGGTGATCTTGATCGGAAGTGTTGAGACATTAGTGGCTAGATCCTAGAGAAAGATCCGGCTAAGGCCAAAGGAGACAAAGATCCTCCGTTTTTGGCTGTGGACCATGCCCCCCTTGCTCCCCCCCTTTCCATGCCCTTTTCCTGCATTCATGTTATGTCTCCGCGGATTCTCGATGACTGTCCGCCTTTCCTGCACAGGTCGTGGACTGTCTGGCTTCACCGTCCTAGCTGGACCCGCCTGGCGCTGGGCGAAGTGGATCCGCCACGTCCGGCTCCACGATCCTCAGAGCGAATGTCTTTCGCACGTCTCATGGCAGATGCGTTAAAGGCTGCCTCTCTCCCCCAACCACCTCTCTAGCTGCAACCAGGCCAAGACTCCCAAGACCAATTTGAAGCAAACACACATAGGGAACAATAGAAATGTACCCACATAGGCCCTGAACTGGTGTGTGAGTGAAACCCCTAAACTTGCGCCACTGTAAAAAAAATGCGGCTTTGGAAGGTCCCGCTATACTGTACTTAGAATTAGTTTTGAAATAGTTTACGTAACCTTTAACTTGTGAATTGGCACAGGAAAACACAGCACAAAAGCATTCGTCGAAAAATCTGGCTACTTGTCTAGGTCTCGTTGAGATCGACGTGCACATCAGCAGCCTTTGGATTGGTGATTTCAACGCCTTCCAAGTGAGATGACGAGATGAGATGGAGTGACACCATTGACACCATGCCCTCGAGCCACAAGCGGCCTCAAATCCCCAAACCCCTGGCCACCCCATGGTTCTCGTGCGTGCCCATCGTCCACCAAGCCACGCGTTTTGGGACATCTGTTGGGCAACCTCCAACAAGGCATCGAAGGCAGCCTTGGAAGGTTTATGCAGAGAAAGGCTTCCCTCATCAGGTGATGATTGCAGACTTTAGCTACGTATGATCGGCAGAAACCTGTGCGGCCCTTCCCAAGCCCAGAAATTTCACATAGGCATCATCATGAGAGCAACCCAAATCAAAAAGCGAAACGATGCCGTCTGCAAGATCCACAAATCCGAAATGGATGCGTTGGGGGCCAGGTGAAACCTGAGGGCACATACCAGCCTGGCGGAAACCCTTGAAAAATGCCGAAACCGTGGGTGTGGGCCGAGCAGCCTGCAATCGGACTTTGCCATCTGCTGACATATCCCCTCGGCCGTTGACAGAGCGGTGATCAGAACGGCCAGGAATGTTCTGCCAAGTTCTGCCATTAAACAGGAAACTGGAGAGTGGAACCTCACACCATGACCGGCCCCCGCACTCACATCATCCATCCGAGGCATTGAAGTTGTTTTTGCCTATCTTGGCCTGAACTATAGACGCATAGTCACTGGACATGCAATTCTCGCATAGTCACTGGCTGAACTGCCCATTGACACAAACATAGTGACCTCAACATTCATATGACTAACCCATACAGCCTTACAGCCGTTCTTTTTCTCCACCCCGTCTCCACGATTCATGATTCATGGAATCATATGGAATCCAAGACGCTCCCCTTGCGGAGTTTGCAATCGGCATGCCACTCTTTGATGACATCTTGTAGGCCTTGTGCCCCCATGAGCCATGAGAGGACTTCCTCTAATCGCTCGTCTGGCTCTGGCAGGCTCCAACATACGCAGGTGGCCAAGAACATGAAGATGGCATTGATCCTGAGGCTGCTGAGGGGGTGCGAAAGCTTGGCCGGTGGAACTGCAGGTCTCTCCAGACGACCTATGTATCCATTTTGGCATGTAGCTCAGGTGACATCAAAATGCACGCGCTTCAAGACCTCCAGTCCACCACGAAGGCAGGACCAGTCCTCATGAGGACATCTACCCGCGGTGCATCAGGAAAGTTGGAGCTCTCCAACATCTTCATCATCGATCGATAAGCTTGGTTTGCCAAGGAGGCGAAGCTTTGCTTTTCACCCTCCTGCCGGCGCGCGACACGGGAGCATCATTGAGCGTTCTCGATTGAAGTGGCTACACGTGCGCCAGACGGCAGTCAAAACCTCAGGCGTGTTTGACGGCACCCCTTGAAATCCTAAAAAGGAGCCGCCCTCTCACTTCCCATCTCTCACCAAGACTCACACAATAATCACGACCCTCTTCTTCCCAGCCCTTCCCCACCCGCCCCGGTTCAGAATCTCCTTTCCCGGCACCCGCATCTGCTGCTGTGCTGCGCTGTCATCCCCAGCGTGCACGAGACGTTGCACCTCGTGCTGCCGCAGGCGCTCCTCAAGCTCCGCCTCCAGGAGCAAGGGGTCCAAGCCCTGGCGACCGAACGTCTCGGCCGTTCGTTGTTGTTTTGGTGCGACCGAGGACAGCCGAACAAGGAGCAACCGAGGACAGCCGCTGAAGTTCAGGGAGTTCAGGTTCGATCGGTGAGACAGCTGAAGTCCCGAACTCCACGGGGGTTTGGGTGGATCTTTTGGAGCTGAAGCTTGAAGCTAAGAAGCAGTGAAGCAGTGAATCCGTTGGGCGCCCGAGAGCGTTCAGTGGTGATACAACGTGATGAGAGGTAACCGAAGACTGCAAGCCCCCGGGTCTTCGATTGTTTTCGAGACTTTGGCCACATTCTGGTTCGTATCCATGTGGTGGGGTGCACCAGGGCCTCCAGTAAAAAATCCACTCATGGCCCAAAACTCATCAGTTGACTCATCGTTGGCTCGCCGATACCGAAAGACAAGGCCTCCGGTAGCTCGGGCAGTGCCATGTTCCCATGGCACGAGGCCCCGGAATGGCTGTCCAGGTCGGGAGAGGGAGAGGGAAGGACCACTCAAAGTAGGAAGCCTGAGGAAAGAGAATGCTGTGAATGCCCCATGCTGCCTGGGGGGTCCCAACGTTGGGACAAACACAAACCAAACTGTGGCAACCAAAAACGTGTTAATTATGTACGGTAGGTCACTGAAAGAACACGTAAGAACACCCTCTTAATGTCCCTCCACGAGGTGGTGCTGCAGGGGTGACTGATTTGGAGAAGGTTGAGTTATCATCGGTCAGGTCTGCCGAGATCCAATGCCCGACTGTTCAATCGGCCTTGGAATCGATCTACGGGGTTGCTTGAGTTCCTGAAGTTCACACAGAGACGCCGATATACGTGCAAACCCATCGACAGCCAAAACCTGCAACAAGGAATTGCCACCATTTCTCTGAAACATGTGGCGTCTCCACCGGCGTCTTCACCATCCGAACCACCAGGAAAGAAGCCTGAAGAGTTCTGTATCCAAACACTCCTAAGCCAGAACAACCTCTGGCTGCTTGAAAGTTCCTGAATTACCATGCAAACTCCAGCCTGTGCATCGAGGGGTCTTTCAAGGTGATCAAAAATTGGTCATCATGATTGATTCTCATCATCCAATGTCAGCTCCAAATCGAAAAAGCTTTTTTAAGCCAAGAACAGCGAAACCCATGAGAAAATCATATATAGATTATTATAGATACATATTACAGTATAAAGTAAGAATCTGCCCTTTCCATCGAACCAAGTAGACATCGCAGCTTCCGCAGTCTTTTGGAAACGAATGCGGACAGCGACATCGCCCCCCCCTCGGGGGTGAGACGGCGGCTCGACCTGGCGGCAGGCATACGCGGCATACTATTCCAACATGTCATGTCATCAGCCACTTATGAGACTTACACTGCAAAAAAGTCAGCAGTCATTACTGGAATGGTCATAGAATGTCATATATAGATAAATGGACATTAGTTTGTTCGCTTGCTCCCACTAGAAGTTGGCATCAAAAAAATGTGGCTTTGAAGCAGTGCTCTCAAACACTCGGAAGGAAGAATGTCAATTCTTAACATGCGAACGTTGATGTCGCCTACAAGGGTGGCTTCGACCAACCCAGCTTCATCACGATGCACGTGAGGTTCGTTTTGGCACCCAGCCTTGGCAAGGTTTCGTGGGGAAACCACGAGGTTTGGGATGGTTTTGAGAACAGCGCATGGCTTCCGACAAGGAGAAGAAGAAGAAGAAGGAGCCACGGGGCAACATGGAGGTCACAGTACCGGGCATCCAGAGACTGTGCGATCTTTTCTGTCTCACGCCTCTGTGGAAAACAGCCGTTTGGCAAACACTCGACGCCAAAAGGATCCACCAAGCAAACTGCTCGATTGGTTGTCGACATTTCTGCCAGGGTCCCTTCATGCCCCACTCAAAAAAAGCAACCAATCCCAAAAACAGGGGCCTACCCACCTGCAGGGTCCCGACTCCCTCTCTCATCTGCCCTTCAAGCTCAGCATCTGCAGCGCGCGTTGGGTCACCGTTTGGGCAGCTTCCTGCGGCCCGGCGCCCTGCTGCGCCATGACATCCTCAGCATGGTTACGAGGCGCTGCCTCTGGTGCTGCCTCTGGCCGTGGTGGGTTGGTCAAACCCAGGCCCAGAGCTTGGATGGACAGCTTCCTGTTTTTCTAATACAAGCGCCACATGATCCACCCTGATCCACCCAAATCCACTGGTTGCGGGCCAGCATCCCAGCAGGCATTGGCCACATCCTGATCACTCAAGACCTGAGGGAAACGTGTGGGCACTGATTTTCTTTCCCCAATACCTTTCTTTCCTGAAGTCCGCCAAGAAGGGGAGGGGTGCATCTCACAACATCCACCAAAGACTCCAAGACGGGTCGACAAGTCGACAGGTCAAGTGGATGAACTTCTACTGAAATCATCTCACCTCTCAGCGATTGAAATCGTCAAGCCGGCGGGCCGGTGGATTGTTCACAACAGTACTGCACCCCAAAAAAACATACAACTCTAAGATTTTACAACTTCTCAATAGATTGCTAACCTCGCTTCTTAGGGAAATAAAAGATAAGAAAAATGTAATGTCTGATATAATTTAAAGATACGTGGGTTAACCTATGGAGAGAATAAATAATAAAGAAGATATCATTTAATAAAAACCTTCATGAAAATAGACTATACGAAAGTATCAGGATATAGGATTATAAATGAGAATTACTTCATGAACAATAAAGAATAATAATAAGGGTGGGCACCCATAAGATAGAAATAAGAAAGAATAATATATTTTAAACATTGAAAGATTCAATGACTGGAAATTCAATTCATATATTTTCCAGGGTTTATTGCTCCCAAAATAATTCGCAATCATGATATTAATGCTGTATTTTAAAGGTTCCAAAAAAGGGGAGAGATAGGAGGTTGAAATCTTAAAAACCTAATATTAAAATAAAGGAGCTACAGCATATAGGGTTTTATAAAAAGAATTAAATTGATATTAAGATTACAAGATTATAGATTAAAATATGTGGCCATACAAAGATAAATAAATAAAGAGCACATATAACTTAAAATGCTAGATCAATGAAGAATTTCGTAAACACCATCAGGTCTCGAACAGTCAAAGGACATTCTTTGCTCTTCACCAACGATTCTTCCGCTTTTCCCCACACCGAGCTCGCCGTCCCTCGCCAACCCGAAGACGCTCCCGTTGTCTCCGGCCCGGTCGACGCTCCCTCCGAGCCGCTGCGAAGACGCCGCGCGTGGCCACCACGACGGCCCAGTCCTCGGGCAGCAAGTCGATGACCTGCGGCCGGCCCGGCGTGTCCGCGGCCGTTGCGGCCGAAAACCCAGAGGGTTGGGGAAGAAAAAGGATGTCAGGATAAAACTGTAATGTAATGCAAAAACGTGTGTGAAGAATTGGTGAACCTCTCCATGAAGTGGTTTCGTTTCGGGTGTGGTGGGGAGGGTAACCGGGTAACCATCTTGATTCTATGGCATACTACGGTCCATCATGTTGAAGACCATGGATGAGGACGATGAGGACGGCTGGATTCACCAAACCCCATGAAGTGAATCATGTGGCAAAGCACCGTCCACCACCACCCTAAATGAATTCCTGATGACTGACAGGTAGGTATTTATTTTAATTTTGGATGGCATGTTGCCCCGGCTGCCCCGGCTCCATTATTTTCAGAAGGCCATGTTCCAGGTTCATGTTGGATTTGAGATCATTTCCGCATATGCTCCAGTCCCTACATAGACCCGAGGCCTCCAAATGAAAAAAAAGACAACACACGCACGACTCGTCAACGAAATCGGGGCCTGAACCTCTGGGCTGGCTGAGAAGACCTCACCCAGGGCTGCAATGGGTGGGAGGTGTTGGTGGTCAAGGGCCATGGTCCAAATACATAAAACCTCATCAAACAGAAAACAGTGCTCCTCTTATTTTACGGATTTATGTTCTGAACCGAGGACTGTCTTCATGTTGGAATCTCCTTCTGACAAGCGGAACTTTGGCTGGCTAAAGGAAGAAAAACCGATAAGAAACAAACCCCGCATCAAGCACCAGGCCAGCGGGTGTTGGACGAGAAGCGCTTACGACGTAAGTATTTGCAAGCAAGTCGCTGGATACGGTGGGCCTTTCAGCAGAAGATCCTCAGTGAAAATCGATTACAAGATCTGTTGACTCTCAGTAAGCTGGTGGAACATGGGATGCCATGCGTCCATGCTGAAACCTACTGAGGAACCTCATCGCATGGATTCGCATGGCCAGTGAATCCAATCACTGATAAAGTAGCGCCCTGCGCAATTTGCAGTTCCCCACCTGGGGCTCAAGATGCTCAAAGCAACCCCAAGCAAGATGCTCAAATGTCCCACACAACCAAACCGCACACTCCGAGGTGCCCCAAAGCCCCTTGAAGCAGCCAGGAAGTTCTTTGGCCCAGCCTCGAGGCAGCTTTTGGCTTCACATCACCGGACGATGCGTTTCAGCCGGTCCCAACCCGCAAATTGAGTATGTGCGGCTATTGCATCGTCCAATTGGTGCCCCCGCCCCCTATGGTTTCCACTGTCGCGGAGTATCGTTTTGATGTGAGCCCCAGGGATTGAAGCATTCTAGAACATGGAATTTTAACGGTGAGTCTTTTGCAAATGTAATCAACCGTTGCAGATGTTGAAGGCACTTCAGACACACAATATGGCCCAGCAATTGTAAAAGGGTCGATTGCGACAGCAGCATTGTTGTAGAGATCTTGTCCACCACTTTTGCTGCTGATGGGTGAGCGTCCTCCACCACCCATAGTTTGAGAGCATCCCGGTACTCGCACAGGTTCGTGAAACGTGTTCAGTAGTAATATGCATCTCACAAACGCCCCCCATCAGTCTCACAAAGGTCAGACAGAATCAGAGGGACACCTAGCTCTGCCGAGAAGTCCCCCTAACTTAACATACCCTAGGCCCTAGGCCCTTACCAAGAGCCTCTGGAAGTCCGAAAGGGAGACACCTCCCTGCCGGTTCGGCTGCTCGAGAAGCCGAGGATCCACATCCTCATAGCATTGCTGCCGTGCCCAGGTGAGCTCGGGATTGCCGGGGCGACCCAGCCACCAAACGCCCCGCAGGTCCTGGAGCAGCACATTCGCTGCAGCACACCCCTCTGCTGACCTACAATTCCTCCGTCCATCGATGGAAGGAAACCGCAGAAACTTTCATGATTTTTTCTTGAACATCAGGGTCCACCACAAAAGGACAACACCAAACAGGTCGCGTCACGTGCCGCCCATGATCGCCTCTTCCGCCGATGCTCGCTCCCCGGCCTGCACCAGTTGACCTCCAGCGGTTGACAAGCGATGTCGCTCCTCTGCTCGGTCGCACACGTGGTCCTGGCACCGGCGTCCCGCCGTCAGCACGGTGCAGGGGCACCGGTGCTTCGAACGGCCCCACTTCCACAGTGAGATGGGGGAAGACTTCTGATTCTAATCAAGTGTTTGACCGTGCCTGACCCACAAAAATAAAAACAAGGAGTCACCTTCAAACAGACAGACGAATGTGTCATATTCCCTCAATGGGCCAAAACAAAATCAAGATCGATCAAGAACTTGATAATAATTGTTTGATATTCAATATTCAATGCTATTCGATGCTATTCCCTCCCCTTCGAGTTGTCCAAATCTCTTCTGTCCCTTCGTCCACTCTCGTATCTCCAGCACGCACTGTCTCTCCTCGGTACACCGCAGGACTTGCCGCCCCCGCAAGAGGAGCATGTGCCCAGTGCCCGACCAGGCTGCGAAGAGTTTGGCCTGACCTGCCGGAAGCTGTGGTTCAGGTTGGTCAGCGAGGGGGGCGAGAGATGTGATGGCATATATATATATATGTATATACACAATATACTACCACCGGCAGGAGGGAGATAATAACTTTAAGGGCGTTTTTTGAAATGGGACCTACAGATGAGAAAGGACCATATGGATAGGAAAAAATTCATGGAAATCAGCTTTAGCAAATGAGACAGGATGTTACCGACCATTCTCTCGTAGGTGTGTCCAGGCGGCCTAAAACGCACATGAGTGAGGAGCTTGGCTGCCAAAGAAAAAGACAAAAGAGCGCACATGAGTTGCGTGGTCCAGGTCTGTTTGCTTGGGCTTTGCTGAGATAGGACTTTATGGTCCCACAATTCAGATTGCACACAATTTCAAAACGCAAATGTTGCAACACGAGTTTCACCAGTGCCACTGGTGATGTCTTGCCACAAGTGCTGAAGTGCCCAACACCAATGTGTTATTTGGACGTTAGCCGTTAGCCTTGTTCAAAGGAGGCTCCTTCTTGACCAAACAAAGAACACGTGAAAGACTCCGTGGCACTCCAGGAAGTGCCTCCAGGTGCTGTGGGCACCGTGCGGCCATGGGGCTCCTGGAAGCCGTGCCTCGGACGCCGACGCCACGTGTCGATGGCGCGCGTTCTGGGGCGCGCCGGATGTCCCCTAAACGCCGCAACCAGGGCACATCACGACCGCAATCAGCGCAGATGCACCGTCTTTGAAGCCGTATTGCTGCGCCAGGTTCAAGAAATTCTGATCCGTCATTTCCAGACCTCCCAAAGGCAGCACACCGGGCCCAACCGTGACTACGATCCTAGTGTCAAATGAATTTACAGTAAAGGACTTGACTTGGGCGTAACAAATGAACATCTGAAGCCACCAGTCCTTGTTGGAGGCAAACGAACCAGATCGGATAAGATCGGTTTCTCTGTCGGTTGCCATTATGGCGCTGGTTCCGCCACTCATCGCTTAAGCCACATGGGGCCGGGCCTCTCAACCCACCAGCCCACATGACATGCCCTGCCTCTGATGATCCCCAACTTGATCACCTCCGCCTCTTCAGCTGCGCTTAACATGTCCAGTGATGCCCCCTTCAAACGCTGCGAAAAGGCTTCGCGGACACCTGGCCACCCCGGAATCCATGCGGTCAAGCAAGGGCAATCTTGTCAGGCTTAACTGGCTTAACTTAAAGAAAAAGAGCCCGTGAGAGGCTGCTAATATCTGCTAATGATCCCCACGTATGAAGTGTCCAAATAAGAGGAGTTTGTGCCACCTGGCATCACACTATATTGCCGTGGTGCCTGCCAGTTCGGTTCTTTGTTGGGCAAGTTGGGACGTGGAAGGGCGGGTATGCCCATGCGGCCTCTTGTGTTGGTGCTGCATTGAACTCTTGGGGTCTTTGGACATTTGCCAATCTTGACACGTTGGATTTAGATTGAAGCTGATGGACTTGTCCATGTCCACCCTGCTATCACGTGCCAAGGAAACAATCGAAAGCCCGTGCCTTGCACGATCATCTTCGGCACTTCTTGTGACAGGTAATCTGCACAGAAGGTGCCACGGTGACCGTCGAAGATGCCGACCATATGGCCCAGACTGTCCTCAAGTGCGCTGGATCTGATTGTTGCTGACGCAGTCGTAGTCGTTTCTGGGACAAATGTAGCAACAACAACAAATGGGAGTCGGCACTGTGAGGGGACACAGCTACCAGAATAAGTCAGAGTTGGTTTACAGCGTACATCTGTGTGTTCTCAGTGAGCAAATGAGCTTTGTTTTTCCTTGCGGCATCACCACCCCCCAAAGAAAAAGACATGGAAATCCCCACAGAAACATGTCACTTCGCAATCCTTCGTTCCTTTCGCCCTCGCCACAAGGAACCCCTTCGCGCCTGCAAGTCTGTGGCGATGGTCCGGTCCTCGTTGGCGAGGCGCGGCCCCATCTGGCTATCCCCGCCACAGCTGAGCCCACTTTGATGCGGCAGGGGCCGCACGTTGGCCGGGGAGCCGGCGGAACCGGGCCGGGCCAGGTCTAGGAGGTAGCCTGAGAAGGGCCACGGCGGTTGGTGGGCGCAAAAAGCCCAAAAAATATGCAAAGTGAGTACGTGGACATTGAAGAATTCCTAGATACCTGGTCCTTTCCGATGATCAAGTCTAGAATTCCTACTTTGGAGGGTGCGCTGTGTGGGTCGCTGCTTGAGATGGACGGGGTTACTTCATGCCTTGAGCCAAAACCGCCTCTCTCGCCGCGAGCCCTGCAACGAGGAGCTGACCCGGGTTCCATGCATCAACCCCGCCGGGACCGGTGGTGCCAGATGTCCGGTATTCACTGCTAGGCCACTGATGCCTTGGCTGCAGTCAATGACGTCCGGCAGAAAGAATGAGACATCCGGCAGAAAGGAAGCGACTGAGAAAAAGGACCTGACCTTATCTCAATGTTTGAGCTGTTGCCCGTCTTTTCTACCACAACGGGACTTGACCCAGGCATAAGAATCAAGAACCTGTTCTTCTTCCTAATAATGTTCAGCACGCACAGCACCAAAGACCCGACACGCCACAGCACCGACACCCCACAGCACTCCCCGAGACCCCGACTGCTCAAGCTTAGGGTCTCAGCTGTCGCTGATCTCGGTCTGCCAACAAAAGGCCACATTTTCGGCGCCCATTGTACCAGAGAATGGTGCCAGTCTGTGGGCCTGTATCCTGACCATTGGATGGCGCATTAGCGGCAGCTTCGGGTGGCTTTGGGTTCTTCAGCAGTGAGCCAAAGTCTGGCTTTGCCACTGCACCGCTCAAGAGGTTGGCCAAGGTGGGAGGGGTTGGTGCTGGCTTGGGCGGTGGAGGAGGAGGCACCACCTTTGGTGGCATTAGAAAGGCTTGCTGCAAACTTGGAGCCTCCACCGGTGCTGCCGGTGGCGCAAACACCACAGGAGCCATGGGCGCAGGCTGCCCCGGCTGCCCCGCCGGCTGCCCCGGCTGCCCCGGCTGCCCCGCCGGCTGCCCCGCCGGCTGCCCTGGCTGCGCTGGCTGCTGCGGGTCCCGCACACGTGGTGGCGAAGGGGAGGAGCTGGAGGATTTTCGAGCCTCTTTGGTCTCCTTTCGAAGTTCCTCCTGCTTCTGCCGGTCCGATTCCTTGGCTGGAGGGAATTTTTCCTGATGTGGTTCGCCTGTGGACGATTGATCAGCTTGAGAAACCTAAAGGCCAGAGAATAGTAGAATTGAAGAAATCACGGATCAAAGCTTCAGGATCAAAGCTTCAGACATTGCGCCGTTCCTGATCACTGAGGAGCCTCCTATGTTCTACATATGCCCTTTGTCTATAGAGAGCCGGCCCTACCACCTATGAATTCATTTCCCCAACCACATCACCTGGTGCACGCCACGCATAGAATGGCCACCGACTCCGAGGTGCGATCTTCATCTGCCGCGCACGCTCCACCGCCGCCGCGAACTCCGCCTTCTTTCGCTGTTCGGCCAACTCCGCTTCGCGCTTTCCTCGGATGGACTAGGTGGGAAAAGGGCTCCGACAGCGCGAAAGCGCGCCACGATGCGCAGCCAGGCAAGGTGCTGGAGAAAAGGGGCATCTTGAAAACAAGTGAGCACCTCTTTCTCTACCAATTCATCTCTATTTCACCGCTCCAAGAGGCGACGTTCCTCCTCTTCAATCTTCCTGCGCTTGGCTTCCACCTCTTCACGCTCCCTTCTCTCCTCAAAGGACGCTCGAGTCAAAGGTATGATGTAGACGTGACCATGCGCGGGGATCTATGATGAATTATATGAATTGGTCCCGGATCAATGTGGTGATAGGGGCCCACTCCTCATCTTCTTTCCATTTCTCCAGGTCTTCTTGCGTGACCTCTTCCTCCTCGTCTGAGGCTTCTTTCTTCCATTTGGCCCCACTGTGCCTAGTACCATCACTGCGTCGGCCCACTGAAACTGGAATCGTTGGAGTCGCTTGATCCAAGGCTTTGTTAAGCTCCTCCATCTCCTTGTGCCGTTTTTCCTCGGCCTCCTTTTGAAGCCTCTCTGACTCTCTCTTCTCCTCTTCCTGCTTCTGTTTCTTCTCTCTTCTTCTTTCAGCTAACTTCTGCCGTTCCTCTTCTTCCTGCTCCTCCTCTTCTTTGCGACGTTTCTCTTCCTCCAACCTTTCCTGGGCTCTTCTCTGCCGCGCTCTCATTAACACTTCTTGCCTGAAGCCAGCCCGTAGGGTCCGCAGACTCAAGCACACAAAAAAAACAAAACAACACGAACGATCGAAGCATCCACCCGAAGCAACCCACCATGACAATCCAGGTCTTTCTCATCCACCAAAAAAATCTAGGGGAAAAGAATCTGAGTGAGGAAAACGTGGAATTTATACACTCCAAGTCACTAACATGGAAGTAGAAAACCACCTGTTTGTAGTCTGAAATGGTCATCAGAGGGGCCATGCACTTCCATGATTATTCCAAGTGGGGTTCTTAATTTACAACAAAACCGGATTCCAGGCCTTTCCCTCTCTTCCTCCTCTTCTCTAGCCTTCTCTTCTGCCTTCCGTGCCTCCTCTCGCTTCCGCTTCTCCTCCGCCGTCTCCACGTCCTCCACCTCCTCCACCGGCTCCGCCTTCGGCTTCTCCACCGGTGCAGCTCCACTGGCTCCAGTGGACCGCGCGCGGTGGGGGTCCACCGGACGCTCCATCTGGGTGCGCTTCGTGGCCGGGTGCGCATAGTAGAAGGTGCCCGGCTTAGAGCGCGACTCCACGCGGATCCAACCTGGATCGACAGGTGAGAGAGAGCAACAGATGCGGTGAGGGATGGCAGTGCGTCTCTGGATTGGATGCAGTGATAGCAGGTGCTGTTCTTTTTGAAGCAGGTGGCGGTTACCTACACCACCCTATGTCAGCAGTCCACATGTGCAAATAAGCAATGCCAAACCAAACCCCCCTGAAAAAGCTCACATTGCAATTGCAATATATTGAGATATTGTGGCCTCAATCCAACCCCCTAACCCACCTCACCCACCCACCCCACCCATCCGGATTCTTCGGATTCCACTCGACCCGTGTCGCTCCCCACCTTGTGGCAGCGCATCCCTCGACGGCTCGGGCGCCGCTTCGATGCCGCGGCCCTTCAGCACCGGCAGGCTCCGTCGGCCGCTGCGACCTAACATGGCCTGGTCACCTCGGACGCGGCCGGCGCGAGCTGCGCGAGCTGCACGGCGCGGGTTGGTTTGGGAACAGGGACGGACGGAGCTTGCAGATCTCTGCAGATCTCTGGTCTCTTCAGATCTGCATATATCTGCATCCTAACACCGATGCGGCTCAGACCAAAAGAGAATCTCATAAGATCGAAGCCAAGCTAGAAGCAGCAGCCCGAAAAAATGGTCCAGGAATTTGGTGGAGATGTCATTCTCAATCTTCTCTTAAATGCTTCTTGAGATACTGGCTTGCACCACGTTAGAAGAAAACACCCGGTGGCAAATGGTTGTAGAGGATCCGATTGCTATGGGGACCATGTGCAGGGATGTGTAACACCAATACCGGAGGAAGCATGAAGAAGCTAGAACCCTCCCGGATCGTCTTCCAGTTGATCGAGATGATTCAATCAACGTGGTAGTGGCAGGTGACTATGATGGTGGGACATGTTGAGTGTGACAAGTGGCCCGCAGCAAATTTTCAACAACATGTCTCGATCATGATGCTTCGCTCTACTTGTCCTACCATCATGCACGGCGCTTCATCCACCAAGCAGTGCGGGTGCTAGTGAGCACCCTACAGGCCGAGCTGCATGATCACGAGGGCACAAGGCAAACATCACGGAGTGCCAATGGCGGAAAAAAGTTGTAGCAAGCAATATCTTGAGATTGCTTAAGATCGCCATCCGAGGCTTTGGCTTGACTTGATAGTTGAGGAGAGTTGTGGGAGCGTGTGCAGGTTGGGGATGCTTTCTTGGAAAATGTTGAAAGGGAAGTAGCTGGAGGGTGCCATCATTGGACATGTTTGCAAGTGTTGTTGCGGTTCTCCATTTGGATCATTCCACTGCAGCGCACGGTGTTTCGCATCGTGACAAGGGCCTGAGGGATCTGAGGGGCCCTCTTGCGCCCATGGATGGCAACCGAAGCACTGCTGAGCATAAACAGCTGTAAGTGCTTCCGCGATGGTCGAATCTCATCCCAGTTGGGAGGCTTTGTCAGGCCTTGTTGCACTCAAATCGAGAGATTCCACTGCGAACCACCCGTCCATCTCGAAGCACCTAGTCCAAAAGTCCAGTGGACTCCGAATCACTCGAAGCTGGCGTGGTGAAACCTCCTCGAAGGCCGGCCAAATCTCCTCCAAGCTCTTGGCATCCCGTCCTGCACAGCGGATGTGTCCCGCGGACGTGTTGGAACTCCAAAACTACCAGTCCTTCCTAAGTGTGAGAGAAGGTGAAGGTGACACCATGAGAGAACTAGTTGCCATGTGACTTTGCCAGAGGTGCGTGGCACGGGACTACCTGGACTGTCCTGGAACACCTATGAACACCGCCACCCGCCTTTCATCAGGGTGAAACCATCGGAACACCTCCGGCCCGTCGCTGGGCTGGCGCCTTGATGCCGCCGCGCCCACCAGCGGCAGAAATCCTCCAACCTCGGGAGGATTGTGTCGTTCCAGCAGAAAAACGGGAGGGTGGGGTGAAGCAATTCCAATTTAGAAAATACGCCATTCTAAGCCCCTTCACATGAGTCCAGCCCGTCCAGCCCTTCACATCAGCAAGAGTCACTTGGAACCTTTTTCCACAGGGGCATCTCATTGGCGGCGCAGTGCCTCACTCGAAAGGCCAGAAGTGTGTCTGTCACTGTCAGGTACGACGGAAAGGGTTTGGACGGTTTGGCCCATCATGTGTGTTTTCCCTCCTGCTTACCACAGGAAACACTCAGCCGCCCTAGCATCTTCAGCCGCCAAGTAGGTGAGACAGAAATGCAAACCAAACGCCTGCAACAGGAATTGCATACGTTTTATGCACATCAACCTTGCTGGAACGCCCCTCAACACACGAAACACGGCAGGTGCCAAGCCAGGAATCCAGAGTGGACTCACAGCCAGGAATCCATGACAACAAGCCTCCTAAAGGTCACTTGGCATGAAAGCAGTTCCTGAGAAGCCCCGCCTACTGCGTATCCAAATCGAAAGGTCGAAAGGCAAGCTCCTTTGCCGATATTTGTTGAAGCCTCTTGGGGCCGATGATTGTCGCCCTAGGCTCGCCTCTACCAGTTTTACACATGCTTCAGGCCTCGCCACCACCCCCTCCAAGGCACATCGTAGTCCACCACTGGAGCGCAGTAGCCCCAACTGGGAGAGCCAAAGTCCTGCTGCAGCTGAGGGTCCAAGTAGCACCACTCGCGACCCGAGCCCTGGAGAGCTGACAGGAGCACAAAAAGAGGATTCCAACCGGGGGTAGGCCCAGTACTGATGGTTGCCCCAAGTGGCAGGTGGTCAAATTGAATGTTTGCTGACTGACTGCATGGCTGCATGTATGATGTGTATCTCTCTCTCTCTCTCTCTGATGTAGTGGCAAACTGTGATTAACTGTGATTCGCCGCCCCCTGGCAGAGCTCCCTGAGGCCAGGACTCCTTCAGGCGTGGGAGCATCCGTGCCTCAGCATTGATCTTTGTGGTCCCCTAAGGTCCCCTGAGGTCCCCTTCTCCGAAATGAGGTCCCTGAGGTCTCCTTTCCACAACCCACAGCTTTGTCCAAGCACGCCTGGTTCGTTCCTCACACTTTCTGGTCAGCTTTGTCCCGGCTGTGTGCTGGATCTCCGCCATTCATGTTTGAGATATCAAATATCTCCATGATGGGTATAGGGTTAAGTGTGGAGGACAGCCCTGGCCTAAACCATCACTGAGCACCACTCCGGGAGGTTTACCAACCTCATTCCTCATGCTTGCCCATTCCTTCTTGCCCTTGAGAACCCACACCCGAAGAAAAAAAACAAGCTCTAAAGCCCACGCTCCAGTACGCGCCGCAGGTCCAGGAACGCTCCACGCTGCAGGGAAGACACAGTTGGTATAAACATTACCATCCTGCACAAAGGCTGCCGCACACAGGAAGCCGTCCAAGGTGCGCCGGTGCTGCTGCCGGAACTGTGTCAAGGGCTTCCTCAAGCAGCGCCGGAGGTCGCGATAGCACAAACAAGCAGCAACATACAAAGAGTTTCATGGACTAAAGAAAACGGTCACCAAACAAATTCACTGCTTTGATGTAAGCCTGTTGGGTGCAGCTCGATCGTTGGCTGCCTTTATCATGGCGTGCTGCTTCCATCTCTCTGAGCTCGGCGGAGCTGATTTTCCAGGCGGGTCGAACGCACTCATCCAGAAGTAGATTTGAATGATAAACAGGTTCTTCAATCTAAGTTATAAGGGCCGGGCTCTATATATATTATATATATATATATATAAGTTGTCTGCTCCGCGTTCGCTGTTGAGTCCTGTCGTCCAATTACGATGGGACAGGGTTTTCCTCTCGGGGTGCCACATTATGAATATCTACGAGAGGGCCATGTGGAATCTGGTCCCATTTCAGTCTGAGGCTCAGCTCGTCAGGCGAGAGGGCATCCGTAAAAGAGGCGACCTGAGAAACGAAGGTGCTCAATGTGTGGCGTCGTGCGATGCTTTGGCTCACACACACAAAAGCTGACAGGGCTGCGATGTATAATGGCCTGCCCAACGGTGGCTGATATACAGAACAAAGCCCACTGCCCCGGTTCCGGTACCATCCATTCATTAGTATGGCCTACAAGTATAGACTGTAGTATAGACCACTCCCATGTTCCATGTGTGACACTACCTGAAGTCCAAAACTCCCTGATGCCCATGTGCCCATGCGCCCCGACGATGCTGCCCGGGGCGCCAGTCTTTGTCCCGGTCGGCCATCCACGACCCAGCTCTCATCGGTCACAGCGTTCCTGAGGCATCGATGCAACTGAACACCATCCGTCCACCGGTGGGCATCCAACTGAAACATCCGTCATCCGTCTTGAGCGGCAAAGGTCAAAGGCCTCGACACCCAACCAAAATGCTCAGTCGTGAGTCACAGAAGCTACAGCAAATTCCTGCACCAAAACCCCCTTCAAAATCCCTTGCGCCTGCTTGAGCAACCCCCCATTCCTCCCAGCTAAGACCACCCTCCCAGGTGGTCCCCCGGTCTTCCCGCTACCCCCCGCGCCGTGGCTCGAGCTGACCGGCGCCGGCGTCCGAAGCCGCACGGTGGGGTCGAACTCGGCCACGCTGCCTCGGTGGGGAGGCACTCAGCGGTCACCGTGAAGCAACGAACTACTCCACTCTAAGTGCCTAACTAGCTAGCACTTGTTTCTAGTAGCGTCCTTGTTACTAGCTAGTTGCTGGTGTAACTGAAATTGCCACACTATTACCAAAGCAACCGTGAACCGGAGGCGACCGATCACCGGTGGGAAGCTGAATGGGGATCGAAGGAGTGGAGTAGATGAAAGCATCATCGGGTTCTGCATGTTTCTGCAATTTGCATCCAACCCCCTGCCACAAAACCCCCATCGGTCCAAAGGAAAGCGGCTTAAGAACCACTTGTCCCTGGCCATCTTTGGAGTCCTCAGCTGATGGAAGAGGGAAGGGGGATCCTCTTCCGGGAAGACGTTTGGGCCCAAGAATCCACATCAAAAGGCAAAGCAATCAAATCAAGTCGCGGAGAAGCGAAATCGGTTCATGAGCAAGACACACGTACAAACAAAGAACTAAATCAAGAAACACGCATCCAAAAAAAAGAAATGAAACATAGAAAGAAAATAGACTCTTTCCACTCCAGGACTCTGACAGTTCTCTAGGCCAGTCGAGTGCTTCAAGGAGAAGAGCTTAAACTCTCGGATGCCAATCCCATCCGACCCATGCACCTGCAGCCGGACGCTGTTCGCCTCCACTCCCTTTAAGTGGATCCGCGAACGATGCGCACGCAGCAGATTCTCGTGCACCGAATAGGCGTCTCGCCAATGGAGGCCGTCCATGGAAGTTTGCAGCTTGAAGGAATCCGGCACGGACTCCCAGTTGATCTCTAAAACCTCACATCTGACGTTTCGCGGATCACAAGGGCCACCAACCTACCCATCATCCTGGGTTTAGACGCTTGGGTTCGCCGGCAGGAATCATCGAGCAAGTACTTCTTCAAGAAAGAACTCATGTCGAAAATGATTTCAGGTTATAAAAGTCCTTCAAGACATGTGAACGAAGCCCGCCTTCAACTTCGCAGCAGGGAAGGCCACCTCAAACATCGCCGTCTCCGCCTCTGGGTCCGCAGCCCAGTAACTGGAGTCGTTCCCATCCACCGCTTGGGCCGCGGTGTGGTACGCATCAATGCCTCAGACTCACCGACACGCGGGCAACTCACGGCCAAGCCGCGAGTCAAGCAGGTTTTTGTGCCGTTGGGAGCGGGTTTCTTATGATCATGAGGCTAAGGTAGAGGCACCATGTGAAGAGAAGAAAGGGCATCAAGAGGTCAAAGGAAACAGAAAAAACATCATGCAAAACACACACTATAATGTTCCTCAAATCCATGTCCAAAAGTCTGGAGCTGGCATGCGCACTTTGGTTCTGGGCCACATCCACGGAAGGCTCTGCAGAGACCGTCAAGCAAAGCCCACCTGCGAGGCTTTGGGCTAAGAGATTTCGAGTCTTGACTCATGAGGTGTGCCAGACATGGGCAGCAAAGAACCCAATCATCAGCTGCAAGTTCATGCTGCAATCGTCATTGATCAAGAAAAAGACCCCCGGACAAGTTCAGGAGAACGCCACCTTGCGATGGCATGCGTGCTTCATGCGCCCACATCGCCCACTTTGCCCTTCATGCCAAACCAGCACACGTCCCGACACATGCAGACCGGAACTCATGACGTCTCGACCTTCCGCAATCGCGTGGGTGGCGGTTAAAGACCAAACGCACGCGCCCCACCTGGAGATAGCTGCAATTGGTCCGTGCCCAAGAGCTCCCAAACCTCGCCAAACCATCGCCGGTCCAGCAAATGCTTGAAGCAACCGGGCTTCAAGGCCCGAAGATTGAACTGAGCAAACAATCCTTTGTTACTAGTAGCGTCCTTGCTACTAGGCAAACAAACGCAAATGCACGGCTCACATTACCCTCCCCACCTGCCCCGGCTGCTCATCACAGCTGCCCAAGCGCAAGTTGCGGCCCTGGCGTAGCAGGCAGCGCCCATCCAAGGCAACCAGCGCCCCCTTCGAGAGATGCCAGATCTCGCGGCCATCGCCGGCGCGCACCGCATCCTCCGATCCGGCATGCTCTGCGAAACGTATGTCATTAAGATGTTTATACAGCCAGGTGGTACGGCCATGGGGACTCTTCTCTCCCACTTCACCGATCCGGAATCCCAACGACAGCGAGGAAGTCGAAGGTGGACCAAGCCTTTCAAGAACCGGTCAAGCCTGAGGTAGCTGCAGTAGCCCCTTGAAAATCTAGCCCCAAAATGCCAGGAGCACCTGATCTCCAAAGACGATATACGTCAATGTTCTCCTCTGGGTGCAAAACTAAGAGCCTTTTTCAGCTTTGAGACAGGCTCATTGACTCTTGCAAGTCCATCACTGCCTAGGTCTACATAGCTTTCTGCTGCGACATAGCTCTCTCTCTCTCTCTCACCCCTACGGCTTGTTAGGTTCTCTTGACCTACCATAGTGTCCTGAACTATCTGGCGGTACGCCTTCGTCCACCCCTTCACCCTTACACCTGGCTGGGTCACCTGGCGCTGCTCCTCACAAGGGCCAGACCACAAACAACCGAAGTGCAACGTCCAAGCTTTCACAGATTGAACAGAGCAGCAAATGAAAGACGATTCGGATACTTTTTCGGCTCTTTTAAGGGACCAGACAGACGTAGATTGAGTAAATGAAAAACCTTTGTGGCTTTGGGGAGATGTGATGGCCCAGATCGGCCCGACTCCTCGCAGGTCTCCATTTGAGGGATGCCCTCCTTTGCCACCAGGCACAGCTCCTCACAAAGGAGCGGGCCCTTCCCTCACAAATTTAAAGGTTCCATTCAAACTATTACACAAAAGAATGGCTGAGTTCGATGCAGTAGCTGCGAAGTCAGACTAGCAAAGGCCCATTAGAAAACCCATCGACTTTCACAGCAAAGCAGGCGTGCATTCTGCGAAACGAGGCGTTTTTCGCTGTGGCCCTTCGCCGATGATCCTTCTTGGCCGAAGCGCCACTGATCAGCATGGCGGGATGTCCCAGAAAGGACGAAGCCAGCGGCATGGCGTTGGCCCGATCCGTCGCAACCGCCGTCCCTGTGACCTTCGGGTTTCTGTGCAGGCCCTCAGGCCTCTTGGCTTAAGGTGAGTCGATTTCATGGTGCGTTTCGCAAACGCTGAAGATACCTGTCGGATCATCGTTTCCGTGCAGAAGCAGCACATCCTTTCAGAAGTCCTTGTCCTTTTGGTCCTGTTTCTCTGAAGAAAAACCGCATGGGCCCCTTCTTGAGCCGGACGTGCTCGGAGCGGCTCGGGCAGACCGCCACAGGCAGGTGCCGAATTCCAAATGCCACCCCAACAGAAAAGGAACATTGGTCATACCAGTCACTAATTCATCATAATCATCGGTTGGTTATTCTATCTATCTATCTATCTATCTGTCTGTGTGTGTGTGTTTGACGTGGGAAACTCCTTTTCTGCTCACGGCGATGTGGGATCACGTGGAGTCCCACGTGTGCGAGGTGAGAGTTCCCGGTCACTGCGCAACACTGCAGGAAACTCCTCGGTCGCTGCGCCGAGCTGAGGGAATCCACCAATGGCTCACGGGTTGCTGGTTGAACCATTGGCATCCTTTTTGTCTTCCAACTGGCACGTGCCGGCGGTATCCTTCCGAAGAAACGCATGCTGCATAGGTCCGCGATTGATGGTCAAGTGCCAGCTTCATAGGTTGCGTCCCCGGTACAGGGTACGCATGGGGATGGCCCTCTGCAACAATGGGCAACATTCACATTCCGGACACAAGCATGTCTCCCAAAAAGTGCCAGGAAATCGCGCGCCATCATCATCATCATCATCATCATCATCATCATCATCATCATCATCATCTCGTCATCATCGTCGTCATCATCATCACAACGGCAACCTGTCAGACGTGTGTGGCTTGCCCCTCACTCAAATCTACAACAACCCAGCAGCCCATAGTGAGTGTGGACCTTCCACGATGTTAGTAGAATAGGTTGTCTTCAACTCTTGCGCAGACGCATGACCCTTCCGTTTGTGACATACAACATACCACACCATACCCCACCGCCCTGCCCAGCTGAGCTTCGTAGGGCCGCAGCGTCGATCGCCGACCCGACTCCTGGGGGGCCCACGAGGTCCCGGCTGCGGGCTGTGTTGGGAGGTGCTCAGACAGTTCCAGCATGGTTCCAACTTGTTCCTGGAAAGTTCGGTGGGATTCAGTTCCAACTGGTTGATGTTGCAGAAATTCTGGGGGGGGGTGCAACTAGCATGCTGAAGTCTTAGGTATCTTGCTGCCGTTGACTCATCAACACAACACCCGAAATCTGAGCGGCACGAAACTACAAGCTTTGTGGGACGAACCACTTCTTCCGTCCCCAAGTTGCTATGCGTCAAATCTAGATTGGCGGGAGAATTTAACGTCACACCAATAACCTGGACCTACAGTCCAAGGAAAGCATCAGTAGTCCCGAAAACCGCCACTTCCACTTGGTTCCACGGACCAAGCCTCCTCCCCGATCCAACGAGATCCGTCCTCGAATGCGCCCGTCCTCCGCCACAGGCCTTCGTGCGGAAAGCTCTGCAAGCTGTTCCTCTGCCCGCAGACGTTGCACTCGCTGGCGCTCCTGGCGACAAGGAAAGCAGCTGGAACATGCTGGAAACAATGGAGAGCAGGAACGTGAACAAACATGAACAAAGGCTGTTTACAACTCTCCTTTACTGAAACCGTGATCTACAGTGATTGTTTTTGAAAAGTGGTGCAGCATGTGCAGTGGAAAAGCAGGACGTGGACTCTCTCCAGGTGCTGTCAAGTGACCTCCTCCTCTTCTTTCCTCACGAGACTGGGTGAGTTGGAGACCAGCCTACCTGCCTACGACTTAAGCCCAGTCCAACGGCTTGTCCATTCGCGCCCCTGCAAATTGCTGATCCCAAGCGGCTGATGGATTGGAAACTCCGGGATTCAAGCGCAAGACACTTGTGTAGAAACAGCTAAGAAGCCAACATCACGACTCACTGCATTTGATTAGGATCAAACCAAACTATCAAGAAGTTCGAGGCATCCTCACACTCCCAATGGCTCTGTCAGGAGTGTTTACCTCACACCGTAATGTCTATGGATTCTGCTGGGCCAAGAGCTCACAGAGAAACTGTCAAGGGGTCACAAAACTCAAGCGTTCAAGTTTACATTGGCTCAGCTGTCCATCTTCGCTCCCACCCTTGAAGACTCAAATCATGTTCCCCAAGCACTGACTCCAAGGCACAATTTCAGTGCCTTTCTTTGGGCCCAGTTCTTCCGTCGCTCACTGAAGTTGGCGGCTGCCCACGGCCGATCCTCAGCTGGCCCCAAGCAAATCTCGCTTGATGAATCAAAGCTCACGCGATATTCGACAGAACCTAGATCGGCCTTCTGAACCATGAGCAACCATTCACCGTTGATTCCTGGCATCCGATAGGTCCAATCGATGCAATAGATTATTCATCCAGTACGGCCAACACCCAATGCCCTTCAAATCCCTAATTTCCTTCAGACTGCTCTCATTTGCAAACTTCAGCAAGGCCATTTATATAGGCATTATTTAAATCTAAAAAAACAAACGAAATGAAGCTTGAACGGCCTCTCTTGAAGATACTATGTTGCCGTTCGGTCTTAGTTTGCCCTGGTGCCGTCTACCTGGAGCCCAATTGTCTAGTTACAGCTGAGTCTTACCAAGCATGTCTCCAACTCATATGAGCTTTACTTGAGGCACCTTTGCTCAAGTTCATCCTTTTCCCGTCAAGTTGGGGCACCTCTGGGGGCACCAGCAGTACCATGGCGCACCCCTTCTGTCAGTCGGACCGGCCCAGGTGCGGTGGCGGGGGCCTGCGGTTTGGGCCACCGGGAGGTATCAATGACCCACATCCTGAGTGCCACAGGCAGGCATTGCCCGTTGGAAGGGCCTAGGGCCTAGTGATGGCCAGTAGGAACTTGTACCAGATTCTTGTTGGAATTATGTCCATTGGTGGACAGGGACTAAAAGTGACACTCACTGGTTCAGATATCAGATAGTATGTGTGCACTTGCCAGTCCGGCAAAAGACACCAATATCTCAGGTGGTGCACCGGCTTCGTAACAGTTCACAAGTTTTCCAAGAACCCACCTGTTTCAGCTTGTTGACATCCAAATCTCTTTTAAAACAATCACTCTTTCATGGTGGGCTACCCTTCACAGTCAAGAACCATCAAGAACCGTAGACCCTCAAGAACCCAACACCTCTCTTCCTCCCCCAGTCCGGCAGATTCAAGAGCCCCCCATTGGCCCATCTCCAGGTGGCACTGATCCGGGCTGTCGTTCCGAAGCCATCCAGGAGATCCAACCATGGAAGGCCATCAAGCGACAGAACCTGCGGAATCCGACTCGGGAACCAGCGCCGCCGCGGACACGACCGATGGAAAATCCCACATGCGGCTTGCCGTCAGGCTGTCAGATCTCAAGGGGCTCAAAACCGATGTAAAAAGGAAACAAGCCAGAAAAGCTCATGAGTTTTTCCGCGTCCATGGGAGGTGTGTGCCTCTGGACCAAGGGTCATCAGAAAAATCTTCCTCCAAACCAGACAATAGCTTGACAAGTCTCTTCACTCGAAAAGCTCAGGGAGAATAAAAGAATTCAAGGCCACCTCAGTTTCCACCAACCGGACTTACAGGTTCCATCACTCCTGTGACAAACTGTCCATAGACGCCTGAAGTTTTGTTCCTTCATTCGCCGCTCCAGCTCAGCCCAAGTGAAAACACGCTCCTCCTCCTGCTCGGGCGTCAAGCCTGCGTGATGGATTCGACTTGGGCTGCACATGGGGCTGGTCAACTGTTGAAGCCCTGGAGGAAACCGAAGAGTGCTTCAGAGTTGGTGAAGGTAAGTAGGGCAGCACAAGTATACTAGAAAGGCGATGGCTATGGTATATGATGTATATGTGGTCAAACGTCAAACCACTGAATCTCACTGACTTGTCCAATCGAAGAATCTCGCAAAGCCAGTGTAGCTATCTGTTCCGTTTGCGGAAAAGTTAAAGGCTACCAGCAGAACAAGTGCACGGCAAATCAAAGTACAAACGGTACCAATGCGGATGTCATATCAATAGATAATCTTGAGAGACCGCCCTTGGACAGCTCTCCCGTGTATCGTGTTTTTGGCAAAAAGGCTGCACAAAAAAAGATGCGAAGCCAAGCCACAAATGATCACTGCGGTGAGTGATTCTAAAATGATCATGCCCAAGTGTGGCATCTTTTCGGACTTCATCGATTGCTTCCACCAACCATCCATCTCTCTTGGGGGTTCTTCTGCGGCCCAATGTATGGACATGTTGTCTTATTTTGAGTTTTTCGTTTTTTGTGCTGGGACGGCTGGAAATGCAGATCTCGTGGCAAGCGCAGCACTGTGCTTCACCTCGGAGTGCTGATCTTAGCATCCAGTTTGTTTGTCAGATGGCAAAAGCCTGGTGGCCCTGAGCGTCCACCCACATGCGGATTGGCAAGTCCTATGTCTACATGCTTTGGAAAAAGACTGGTGGCGGTCAGGTGACAAAAGCCTGGTGGCCCTTAGCATCTACTGTTGTGCGGTAGTGCTGGTTTGATGTTTACGTGCTTCAAGTGACTGTAACACGTGGTGAAAACAATCCAAAAGTACTGTAGCTAGACCCAAATACTAAAGGAATGTCTTTGTTAAAACTTTGCCCTCGGGTAGCTCACAAAAGGCATGCTCCGTTTCCATGGTTCCTTCCTCCTCTAAATCCTCCCCTTGTGCAACTCAAAAAACGTGTGTTGGAACGGCCCCTTCCTCCTCTAAATTGTAACCTCGGGTTGGTCACAAAAGGTATGCTATGTTGGAATGACCCCTTCCTTAATGCTACCTGGCGCGAGTGACAAAAGTATGCCACGTTTTCATGGCCCCTTCCTTCTCCAAAATTTGCCCTCAGGCGGCTGACAAATGGCCCCTGCCAACTAATTAAAGACTGTCACATGCCCGAATTGAATTCCTTCCCTTCTGTCCTTCTGTTGTTTTTTTGTTTCTTT